TCGGTCCCGGTGCCTAAGCTGGTTTCTGGCTCATTCCATGTCGGTACCAATCCTAAACAGTTTTACAGAGTGGTACATGAGCCAGAATGCAGAGAAAATGATCAAATGTCCTCAGCAATCAGTAAATTTCAAGACCTCGGTGTATCAAGCTCTTCAAAAAGTGCTTCTGTAACTTCCGAAGATGCCTCTTCAACATCAGATCTTGTAGGAGAACCATCTGTATCAAGGACATCGGTTCCAGATTCAGGTTGGAAGCCTCGTGGAGTGTTAGTTGCTCATCTACAGGAGCATCGCTCTGCGGTCAACGACATTGCAACTTCAAGCGATCATAGCTTTTTTGTTAGTGCATCAGATGATTCGACAGTGAAGGTGTGGGACTCCAGAAAACTGGAAAAAGACATCTCGTTTAGGTCAAGGCTAACATATCATCTTGAGGGAAGCAGAGGGATGTGCGCAGCGATGCTTCGGAATTCAACACAAGTTGTAGTTGGAGCCTCTGATGGTGTTTTACATATGTTTTCCATTGACCACATCTCCAGAGGCTTGGGGAATGTAGTGGAGAAGTATTCAGGCATTGTTGATATTAAAAAGAAGGATGTTAAAGAAGGCGCTCTAGTTTCTCTCTTGAACTATACCGCTGATAGCCTTTCTGGTCCGATGGTAATGTATAGTACCCAAAACTGCGGAATCCACCTTTGGGACACAAGATCAGATTTAGATGCATGGACACTGAAAGCAAACCCTGAAGAAGGATATGTGTCTTCTTTGGTAACAAGCCCTTGCGGAAATTGGTTTGTCTCTGGGTCTTCAAGAGGAGTGCTGACTCTGTGGGATTTGAGATTTCGTGTCCCAGTAAATTCATGGCAATACCCTGTCATATGCCCCATAGAGAAGATGTGCCTCTGCTTCCTTCCTCCAAGTTCCTCGGTGTCCACCACTATGAGACCTTTTATATATGTTGCTGCCGGTTGCAATGAAGTTACACTCTGGAATGCAGAGTTAGGTAGCTGTCAACAGGTAATGTTGTTTTACCATTATTGCACCTTGACTTTAGCTATTGAACCTTTATGATATTTCTACTGTGGTCTTGCAAGTTTGAATAGAAACTATGAACCACTAGAGAATGAAATGGATTAAGATAGTCTTCATAGTGATTGCGGTGTCAGTTTTGATAGATTAGACGATATCATTGAGTTGGAGCCTTGCTGATTGATTCTGTTGGGATGGTTTAGGTATGGAGAGTAGCCAACTATGAAAATGAGATGGATGTTTCCGAGTTTCAATGGAAATTACCAAGCAGTAAGGTAAATTCCAAGGCGAATATTCGCCAGAACATGAGCTCCAAGTACAGAATCGAAGAGTTGAACGAGCCTCCTCCTCGTCTTCCTGGGATCCGCTCTTTGCTTCCTTTACCCGGAGGCGACTTGTTAACAGGCGGTACTGACTTGAAGATTCGGCGATGGGATTACTCCAGGTACTAAATCTAAAACTTCAACTTGTGTTTTTTTTTAACATTCAAACGTTTTGTCACACCTCTTGTGGATTAAAAACAAAAGAACTGACGTCAATTTTTGTTTCCTGTGTTTTGGACCAAACACAGTCCTGAGAGAAGTTACTGTATATGCGGTCCGAGTTTGAAAGGAGTCAGCAACGATGATTTCTACGAACTCAAAACCAACTCCGGCGTGCAATTTGTTCAGGTCTGTTGGTTAAATATATCTTTGATCACTAACTATATTATAGATAAGAGCTTTTAACAAGCTAAATCTTTGTAAATTGTGTTTGTGTCTTTGGCAGGAGACAAAGAGGCGGCCTCTGGCAACAAAACTGACAGCAAAGGCAGTACTTGCAGCGGCTGCAACAGACACTGCAGGCTGTCACCGCGACTCGGTTCAGTCTCTGGCATCAGTGAAACTGAACCAGAGACTGTTGATATCAAGCAGCAGAGATGGAGCCATTAAGGTCTGGAAGTAAAAAAAAAAACTGTGATGGTCGTTTGTGTACAGTATTGTTATAGTGCTGCTTTTTTTTTTTTGGTTGAAGTGGTTCTTGTTCTACCTTTTCATTGTAACATCAACTGCTAAAAGGAATTTTTTAGCCTTGTATCTTTATATTCTACAAGTTTTTTTTTTTTTTGTACAGATTTCCACTATAAACTGAATTCATGTTTTGGCTTCAACTAAAGAAAGATATATAAGACAGTTTCTTTCCCTTTATTCTCTCCGCCAGTCGCTGAAATTACGTCATTATCACTCCATGTTGTTTTGCATTTACGTAAGGCACTTTTATGTTACATTTTTAACTCTGAAGCATATCAGTCAGTACGATGAAGGGACATATATTTGTTGTCATGGGAATAATAACTGTGATTATAGAAGGCTATGATGAGGTTGCAAATTACTTTTCCGCGCATCGATAGTAAAAAGAAACAGAAGATCGATTTGATTGAGAAAATTATATTTGTCTATAAGATGTAACAAACGGGAGGATATATAGCAGAATTCGCAATAACCATCCGCAAAACACAAAAAATTTCAACTAAGAAAGCAAAAAAAAAAGGCCAAAACTTCAACCATCCCACGATGTGATCATCATCTACTTCTCAGACGAGTTGGGTCCTCTCTTCTTGCCAAATCCAACAACTGTAAACAACAAATAAGAGGAAAATACTTCAGGACCAGTTCGTTTAGCATCAAAGTTTTAATATTTTCTAGTGGGAAAGATAAGAAATGATATTCATATGCAACACGAATTAACTGTAATTAAAATTTTGATGTATGATGTCTGTAGGAATCAATTCCAGAAAACCTTTCATGAATAAAATAATATTACAGATTCAGCAAAAGTCGTACGAGCATCATTACTAACATTGGCTAATAGACAAGAACAACAAGCTAACACATCCCGTCTCAAGAGACTAGAGAAAACAGATAATTTTACCGGCGGTGACGAAACGACGGTTGTGTTGCATCCGTTTGTGGGCACGGCCACGTGGCTGCTTCTTCTTGTCCTGTTTAGCTACTTTAGGTGTCTGTCCTCTCACCTTACCGGCACGAGCCAATGAACCGTGAACCTTACCTATCAATTCCGAACCAAATCAGATACAAAAGCATCAGCACCAGCGATATTAGGCCGCGAACAAAACCAGACTGAAAATGTTTCGTAATAGAATGCGAATCGTAAGCAGCTAAAATTTCACAAGAGAATCACCCATAGTTCTTCTGACGACGGCGCTCCCTCCGGTTGATGTGCTACGACGCTGTAAGGTCTTCCTTTTTTTGGGTATTTAGGGTTTTCTTCTGGAAATGGGTATTTATATTTTATATAACTGATGAAGACGACACGATCTGCGCCAATAAGGCCCATTAGTGATCTCTCTTAATGAGCCTACATTTGAATATTCAGTTAGAATCAATACCCGCTAAATTTAAGAAGATGTTTCACCATATTTGCAGATCTTTTTGTGATTCAAATCAATCTTTGCATCCAAATTTATGTTGTTTCTCATGGTTGCCAGAAATCAACTTTGGTTTCTGTATTTTATAAATTTAGAAATTCTAATATACAGTAAGATTGAACAGTAAAGAAAACAAAAGGTCGTCAAGGTATAGAAATAAATCGATCATGAAGTAACTATATATAACTTGAACATAATTGATATAAAATCTTTGTGTCTCTGTGTTCTGGATGAAACAAAATGCTGCAATTGTAACGATAAAGCAATTTACTCGTCTTCCTCGATGACTCTGGTTCCCAAACCAGACAAACCTTCTGCTGGGATCTCAGCCACAGTGACGAGCGAGTAAAACTCTTCTTTAGCGTCTTCATCATCGTTCCTCTTCCGGGCAACACGCACTCTGATTCTCCTCGGGGGTCCTCGGATTCCTCTGCTCCATATCTGCTTGTTGAGCTTCACGTCAACTCTTACATCCTTCGTTCCCATTGCTTTCTCTGAGAACTTCCTTATCTCCTTTATGGCATTGGGTGCCTTCTTCTTGAAAGTGCTGTTCATTTTACATCAAAGACACATCATTTACCAAACCCGCAAGACTAAATCACACGATTTAGGAAAACATCAACAGAAGAAGCAACAAAACCATAACATAGAGAAGAAGGAACAACCCTATTAACTCAATGATGAACAATGGTAAAAAAGATATCTGTATTTATAATTGTTACAAATTCAACTTACATTATGCAGACATAAGAGTTCTATGTAACACATTCGAATGTATCTACTACAGCAAACGTACAATGATGTAGTGATTCTTCAGACAGTGTCACATATATGGAACTGGGCAACTCTAATTCCAGAAACTAATGTTGAAAGTTATATAATATTAAATGCAAACAGCAATAACAGACGACAAAGAGCAAAAACAGAGCTTAGCATCTAAAATTCAAAGATTGCTGAAGTTTGTTTTTACCAGCTATGGAGACGCCTGTGGAGATTGATAGTGTACTCCCTGGTAACGACCTCCTCCTTTCTCCCCTTAGCTTTCTCCATTTCCCTCTCTCTCCCTCTCACTTTCAGCTAAGCCTGCAAATTCGTAATGTAATGCCACAGATAAATCAACATTTCACATCCATAAGAAACATCCACATGAGTTTTGCTCAGCATTTCGTATTATAATACAAGAATCAATCTCAGAAGATGGAGGAGACATAAGCAAGTACCTTTGGCGGCGTGAAGGAACGGAGATGAAACAGTGAACAACAGTGAGAGAGAGAGAGAGAGACAGAGGAAAACCCTAATTCAAACGCTTCCGTCTGAAGAATATTCTGGACCGATAATAGGCCCAATGGGCTTTATATAATTATCCACCTAACGTAACCTGATTGTGCCACGTCAGCTTAATAATTCTGTACGCTCACGTTCACTGTAGGATACGATGAACCCTTCATTTCATCTCTTCCAAAACCCCAACCAAAACCCGTAATAGCTCTAAACTGCTTTGCTCAGAAGCTTAAGTGAAGAGGAAGAAGAGAGAAAAAAAGCAATGCTAAGCTTTCAATGCTCTCTTCACCTTCTTCAGCCTTCTACGGCGAAGAACAACCACTCGAATTTTTGTTTACACAATTTGGCGCCGTTTCGTGTCACCGGCACGATCCAGGTACCGAGGATCCATCAGGCATGTGGGAATCGGTCTAGGAAGAGTGGGAAGCTGCGAGTAAATGGTGTGGGTCGAGAAATGGAAGAAGATGTGGAAGAATTTGGAGAAGAAGATGAAGAGGGAGAAGATGAGTTCGCGTCGAGGAAGAGAGGAGATTACGGAGGGAAGCAAGCGGATATAAATTACGATAAAGACCCCGAGTTCGCTGATATCCTTGGAGATTGTTTAGATAACCCAGAGAAAGCTCAAAAGAAGGTAAAGTTGATATCTTTCATGTATGTATCCTACAATTTCTTAAACGAGAAGCTTGATGAGCTGAATTGATTGGAAGTTACAAGATGTGAGATTGAAGTATTAGTCTTTGATTTTGATTGTTTGGTATCGATGAACTGTTTACTCTTTTCATTTTGATGGTAGATGGAAGAGAGATTGAGGAAGAAGAGGAACAAAATTCTGCACACTAAGACTGGTTCAGCAACTTCTATGCAGGTGACATTCAACAAGTGAGTGCCTCAATTCAACTCATAAAGAGGTTTCATGCGTGTTCTCTTGGTTGATACTGCTTTAACATTTGATCTGCTAGATCATCACTGCCTCGTTGTTCTAGAGTGATATTGAGTTTCATGCTCTAACTTCGTCTAAGTTTGTTCTTCTCATTGCTTTTTGTGTTCTATCAATAACTCTCGTGGTTTTGTTGTTCTGGAAGATTTGAGTATTCGAATTCATACATGTGGTTGGAGTTTTACAACGCACCGCTGGACAAAGACATAGCCTTGATCTCTGATGTAAGCCCCTTGAATAAAACCTTAGCATTCGTATACTATTTCAAATTTTACCCGACTAAATCACTCGCTGCTTTGTTTTGATGGCTAAAATCTTGCAGACAATCCGTTCCTGGCATATCCTTGGACGTCTTGGTGGATACAACTCCATGAATATGCAAGTAAGTCTGCTTCAGAAAGTGAAAAAGCAATTATTATCTGTTCAGCTTCCTTTTTGTCAAACCAATATATAAGAACTAAGCTGCTTTCTCTTTTGCCGCCCCATTATGGTACAGTTATCACAAGCGCCACTGGATAAAAGGCCAAACTATGATGCTATCCTTGGAGCTAATATCGAGCCTACAACATTTTATAACATTGGGGATCTTGAGGTCCAAGACAACATAGCTCGCATATGGTGATAACTTTAATTACCCTACCTTTTGTAACAATTTTCTCATGTCTTGTGTGGCTTTTGTAGATTTGCTTCTCTTACCGTGAATGATGGTTTTGACAGGCTCGATATCGGGACCTCAGAGCCGTTGATTCTTGATGTTCTGATAAACGCATTGACACAAATTAGCTCAGAGTGAGCTCAATTTCTATCTCGGTATTAGTTGTTTAGTTCAAACGGGTGGGAAGCTCTCTAATATTGGATGTTTTGTTTGTTGCACAGTTATGTCGGGATCAAGAAAGTTGTATTTGGTGGGTCTGAGTTTGAGAGCTGGAAGGAGAACTTAACATCCGAGGAATCTGGTTTTAGAGTCCACAAGATTTAACATTTTCTTGAATTTGTTTCAGAGGCCACAAGATATAACTTTCTACTTCGATTTTTTTTTTCCTTTTGTCACAACTCTCTCCTACGATTTATAGAATCAATAGCGATGTGTTCACATTATTATGATTAGATGGAACTACTTGTCTGCCAAAAGATAGGTCGCCCAAAAAAATGGCAACGACTACGTCTATTATCGAAACCAATGATAACATTTTGGGGATACTTGAAAGCACAATACTTTTTAATACCATTTTGTGAAAAAAGGATGACAAAGGAGGTGGTTCAAACAAAACTCTCATCTGTTCAGGAAAAATCTTTAACCTACAAGCATTGTCTGAAACTCTTGACGGATCGAAACAAGCTTTTAAAAGTAAAATATTCATTCAGTGGTGGATTCTTCAAGCCTGCCTGTTTCTCCTCTTGGGACCAGACTTGGCGACTCTAAGTCCTTTGCTGATGGCGCTGAGCCTAGCAAGTGCTGCATTCTTCAGATCAGGCCTGTAGTAGTTGTCCACTACCTGAAAAAGTGTAGTCAATAAATCGATTAATACTGATAGACAAAGGAAGGAAATCGAAAGAAGGAGATACGAATTGGTTGCACACAAGAAATAATTTATCTCAGAAGCCAAGCGTAACAAATATATTTCATAGAAGAGAAACTCCACAAAGAAGTCCTCTTCTTACGTGTTAGCTTTCTCATCACTGATAGGAATTGCACAAGTAACTTTGAATACTAAATATGGTTAAGTCTTATATTTCATAACTAGCTCAGAAGCCAAGCGTAACAAATATATTTCATAGAAGAGAAACTCCACGAAGAAGCACTCTTCTTACGTGTTAGCTTTCTCATCACAGCCGAAAACCAAAACTATAATCAATCCTAAATTATCATCTCATTAGAGCACTAATCTATAAGATTTACCAAAATGTATTTAGCTCAGAAGCCAAGCGTAACAAATATATTTCATAGAAGAGAAACCCCACGAAGAAGCTCTCTTCTTACGTGTTAGCTTTCTCATCACAGCCCATAAAATCAAACAACACAGAAACCTATTAAGTATCAACTCATTAGAGCACACTTACCCATAAGATTTACATAAAACTCCAAAATGTAAATAGCTCAGAAGCCAAGCGTAACAAATATATTTCATAGAAGAGAAACTCCACGAAGAAGCACTCTTCTTACGTGTTAGCTTTCTCATCACAGCTCATCAAACCAAACTATAAAGAAACCTAAAGTATCAATCCATAAGATTTCCCAAATACTCCAACATGTATAAGCGCACATAAAGCAGAACTCTTTAGAAAGCTAATGAGCCTAAAGCACAGGGAGAAGTAACAATATCTAGAAACATAAACTCTTAGCAACCAAAACTGATAACTCCAAACAATATTTTCTGAACCGAGTTATACCTGATTGACAACAACTTTGGTCATCCTGGGGAATTCCTTCTTGAGGACAGACTTGTTAACAGAGAGCTTAGGCTTGTTTTGCTTCTTGGTCTTGGTGGTTCCAAGTACAACACCTTGCTCCTTGTCAGCTTGCTGAATGGTCACGGTCTTTTTGTTCGCCAAACCTGAAATCACAGAAAAATAAACGAACTTTAATCACCTTGTCAATGCTAACATAAATCAAATCAACCAATAGCAAGAAACCAACAACATTAACAGCCAAAAGATCCAGACTTTATATTTCAATTACATTCTGAGATGCTAATACAAACAAACCGAAGGTTATAACATCAATTGCAACCTAACATACTCATCTAATTCAAGAAGTTATTAATTAGGCCAACTACATTTCGATATACATAAAAGGCAGTGACTTATGTTCATAAGCAACATTTTGTAAAGAACTGATCAGAAATTCAAGAGAAAACAACACTGTTACATTACCAGAGTGCTTGTAGGAGTTGAGGTTGCATAGGTTGTTGCTCTCCTTGCTGAACTGAACCTTAGCGTTACCTCTACCGAACTGTTTCACCAAGAAACAGTTGTTTCTCTTCACGATCTCCCAGACCAACTGTCCTGGAACTGTTGCCATTTCGACCTCCTACACCAATTTTCCAAAAACGAAAGTACAAATTAACAAACATACATGAACCGATCCAACAAGAGCTAGAGAGGTGAGTGAAGATCTGTGAACGATCAAATGGATGTTAAGAGATTATCAAAGACGATGCAAGCTCACCTTGCAATCCGAAGACCTACTCAACGGCGGTATAGAGGAGAGAAAGTGACTCGTGCCTGAGATAGGTTATGACGATGAGTTAATATATAGTTATATAACAGTTTCCACAAAACCCTAATTTAGTTCGCGGTGTCAATGATTATGGATATATACATTTAAATAAAGAAGCATCGAACGAATGGGCGTTTGGTCTAGTGGTATGATTCTCGCTTTGGGTGCGAGAGGTCCCGAGTTCGATTCTCGGAACGCCCCTTTTACTATTTTTTGCATTTCCGAATAATTTACCTTTTCCCTCGTTTATTTGTTACAAAACAATTTTGCATTCCTTAGACTTAAACTGAGCAATAAACTGGATAAAATGAAAATTACAAACAACACACAAGCGGAGCAATCCAAAACCTGTTTTATACGGTGAAGCTATATATGTTTATATTACATGGTGACTACAACTGTCTATATAAGTATCAAACCTTTATGAAAGCTTTTAAAATCTTGACAAGTTTCAACAAAACATTCCGACGCATCAAATGGAATTCTTGGTTGCCATCATCATCACCACAAGTATATACCGAGGAATTCAAGTTTCATACTTGAGCGTTATACCTTAAGCGCTATATCGGAAACCCACATATCCTCACCACCTTCAGCCCAAACTCCCCATTTCCATCTCACTCTCAGGTTACTCATCGTGCACGCCGACATAAAATAAGTTCTTACTCTAGGATCTGTGTCCTGGTGAATCATCAGTCTCATGTCCGTCAAACCTCTGCAATTATTAAGTACAGACCTGATGAAAGAAACTGTTTGATGAACATCGGTATGATCCTGTGTCTGTACCCGCGCTGTAATTTCCTTCAGGGTATCTGTTCCCTCCACATGCACCAGACCTTCGCTTTGGAAATGAGTTTCCATGTCTAACCAAGTCACAGGACTCAAACTAAGAGAAACGATGCCAGGGAAAGCTTTGAGAAGTGTTCCCAGTCCAAGCCTTAGCCTTTTAGATTGCTTTATAGACTTGACTGAATCCACCGAAAGCTTTCTGATCTTGTTGCCAAAACAACGAGTGTTTCTGATTAGCCTGTACATGTCCGGGGATATGAGCTCTAAAGCATTCAGATCTTGAAGCTCCGATAGACTAACACCTTCCGCGTCCTCTACGGAGAGGTGAAATTTCACCAGCTTGGGTGTTTCGAGGAGAAGAGATTTGGGTTTGTTGCATTTCAGCTTGAGTTCAACGAGGTTTGGCGCGACTATAGCCAATGAAAGTGGAGCGTTCGACACCGTCCAGTGGCAGCTCTTTAGGTGCAGAAAGTGGATTCTCGGCTCCTTAAGTCCTCCAACGCCGATCAAGTTCAGCACTTTCAGAAAAGGGAAACAATCGTTCACCTTGTCAAGATTCTCGTCATCGAGTCTGATGAACTCGAGCGTCAGATATCTGAGATTTGGCATCTGAGTTAGACCAACAACTGATAGCCAAGCGTTCTTCACCTCTAGTTTCACTAGCTTATCACCTGCAAGATAGAAATCTATACTTCATTCACAATGATTCCAAATCATTTCATGTAAGCTACTTCAGAAACATAGAAACTTTCCTGAAAATCTGAAGCACAAATAGTAACATTCAGCACAGCTGAGAAATTTCTGTGAATGAGATCATCATCATCATCATCTTTTCTTCGTAATTTTTCAATAATCTTCAAATTCCAAACAATTCAAAGTTGTTTCCAAATAGAAACTTATCACAAACGAATCAAGGAGTTACTGGAAACGATGATGCAGGGCCAAAGACAGAATCGATGGATTTTGATCCAGAACTTACAGTTTAGAGAAATGAGCGCCAAAATATCCGACTTTCTCCAGCAAGACTGAATCCAGAAATCTGAAATTGACAAGATCTCAAGGTCTTCACGGACGCTAGGCAACCACTCCCGCACGAATTCGATATCCGTCAGGTACAATTCGTCGGAGTCTTCTTCAATCAAGTCGTCGAACGACATCCCGCTAAGCGCCTTGTCGACTGCGACTGAGACGGAGAGAAGGTTTCGAGAATCCTCGATCAGATTCTTAAAAACCGTCTTGAACGGCGTGACGGCGATCGACCGCGATTTCGAGTACCGGGACAATGTGCAGATGAGGTTCAGCGCGCGAACCTCCCGCCAAAGCGAGTTGAAGGTTTTGGAAGCGACTCGGCATCGAGCTACGTCTGCGGAATCGTTGAGTCGATTCAGAATATTCACCAAGAGCTCTCGAGGCAACACGTCCATGGTCATTTGGCAATTCGAGGGGATGAGGAAGAAGAGAACTCAAGAGAGATATTTATAGTCGACACAAGTACGTGTGGTTAAAGCCCGCACGTGTTAATGTTTAAGTCTATACTACCCCTGTAAATTTTGAAAATGACAAAAGTGCCACACGTTGAATCCTGAAGGGAGAAAAAACCCTTATTGAGTTTGTGTTCTTTGTAATTGAGGTTTTAGATTCTCCGATTTGTGAGTATCGTCGGATTTTCGACCGGAGAGATAGAGAGATAGAGAGAGAGAGAAATGGGGAGGAGGATTTTGAACGATGCGTTGAGGACGATCGTGAATGCGGAGAGACGAGGAAAAGCTTCGGTGGAGCTCAAACCAATCTCCACCGTTATGTCTTCGTTCCTGAAAATCATGAAGGAAAAAGGTGAAGTTTCTGTTTTGAATTTGTAACCATTTCCCAAATTTTTCATCGGAAAGTTCGTTAATTTATGACTACAAGGTTACGTTTTCCATTTTATCCAGTCACTGATGACATGTGGTGTGAAGGATCTGGTTCTGTGATTGAGTTTTCTTTCAGAAGCTGCAAATTTTTAGTTTGTGAGACTGTTGGGCTTGTTTTACATATTGACTATACTATTTATAGAAGTAGGACACTTCTTATACTTTGTCTGGAGAAAAATTACTTGTGTTTTTGGTTAATGGTGAAGCTACAACATATCGAAACTTGAAAATAAAGTTCAAGGTTTTTTTGCTTCTATGAAGAATTCCACTCTTCTGTGAACTATGCGTGTGATGTTTTTGGTGATTTCGATTGCTTTGATCTTATTTTGGTAAGATATTCTTCTGATAGATGGTTTGTTTATGGGCAAATTTCTAGTTGAAATTATATTTCCGTACATCAAGAGTGTTATTTTTGTCAAGTGTATGCTTTACAAAATGCTATGCTTAATGTAGGTTATATCAAGAACTTCGAAGTCTATGATCCACATAGAGTTGGTAGAATAACGGTTGATCTGCAAGGGAGGGTTAATGACTGCAAAGCTCTAACCTATAGGCAAGACGTTAGGGCAAAGGAGATTGAGAAATACACAGAACGCACACTTCCAACACGTCAGGTTCGTCTCCGGACAGTTTATTTGCTTTTTCCCTGTCCAAAAGTATCATTTACTTTTGACAGCTTTAACCTTGTTGGTTTGGTTCCATGCAGTGGGGTTATGTTGTACTCACAACTCCGGATGGGATTTTGGACCATGAAGAAGCGATTAAACGGAATGTGGGAGGTCAGGTTCTTGGTTTCTTTTATTGAAGTGCTCTCAATCTACCACATGGCAAGCGGCTCTAGTGTCAAAGAAATTTAACAAAAGTTCGATCCTTCGAACCTGTTGTTCCTGTGGTTTTTTTGTTTCTGTATCTTGCTCTGTCTTTTCCAACACATTTGTTCTTTAAATTCAAAGATTAAAGGCATTATTTCGAACATCTTAATGTTGATGATGTTACAAGGTTCATTGGTTTTACCACTTAGTGTGTTTTATGTAGCTGTGTGGCTAACAGTTCTTTTCTTTGTCAATGACTCAATGTAATATGACATCCATGTTATAGTAGAAAACCATCACACTCAGTTTTCATAATTATTCGCATATAATCATCATCTATATATGAAACCCAAAATACAAAATAATCTGACAAGAAAGTCAAATGTTTTACATAACAAATGTACATTATCACTTCCAAAGAAAAAATAATCCTCACGATAGTCTCAAGTTCAAACTTCAAGCACATAATCAAACAAAAGAATAAGAGGTAACAATGAATGTACTGTAAATGAATATAGCAACAGACTGGAGGATGAGCAAAAGTTCACCGACGAAGAGCCCCGAGCTTGGCAAATATGTCGTCGTAATCTGGGAGCTTGGGATGAACATGGCTAGCTTTCTCTTTCGCAGGAGTTCCTGGGTCTGGTGATGTCACAGTTTTTGGAAGGGAGCTTGAAGATGGAGCTGGCCTTTCTTGCTTAGCCAGTGGTTTGGCTTTTGGACCTAGCTTTGGAGGAGATCTTTGATCGTGAGAAGCTTTTTCAGTTTTTGGAAGAGAGCTCGAGGAAGCTGACTCTTGTTGCTTAGCCAGTGGCTTGGCCTCAGGTGTTACCTTTGGAAGAGATTCTTGTTCCTGATAGATTTTCTCGGTTTTTGCAGTTACCGGAGATGATCTCCTCTCTCGTCCCATTGTTCTTCGTGAGATGGAAATAGAAGGCTTAGGATGGATGCCTGAAACATCTCGTTCGAACTCTTTCTCATCATCCTCATCGTCACTGGACATTGAGTGGAAATATGAAGCAGAAGCAGGGATGGTCTTGTGGGTCCTCTTCTCTGGACTTCTAATAGAAGCTAGAGTCGGGATTTCTTCCTTGTGTGTCGGCCGGGTTCTTGACTCGGTTCTTTTACCTTGGTTTCTGACAGAAACTCTACTTGGAAGTTGTATCTCCGTTTCATCGTCACTAGAAGATGAATATGGAGGTACAGAGCTTGGTCTTTTGTCGAGGTTGCCTGCTTTCTGTGTGTAAGGATCTCGTCTGATACTGCTAGAAGAAACAGTCGGCGAAGAAGAAGACCTCGACGGATTAACCTCTGCTTGGACATGATCTTTTACAGATTTGGACAATGGCTTGTCTCTTGGAGGGCTCATTACATAAGGCGGGAGTGTCTTTTCATTACTGAGTCCATCGGTTAGAGGTCCAGATCTCAGACCTGTAGGAGTTTCTGTGTCGGACTCTTCCTCCTGTGGCCTGGAAACATCTTCTTCTTGGTCTTCTGTGTCTGAGGGGAAAAAGTAGCGTCCTAAATCATCAGGAACTTCAGACACTGTAGACTTATGAGATGTCAGCTTTGGCTTTTCTTCTACACGTCCAGAAAGTGTTCCTTTGTTTCTCATATCGTCTTTTTCACTTTCAGAATCTCGGTCGTAATCATCAAACTTTGCAGACGGCTCAGGCTCATGCAGAGAAGCTGGAGGACTTGTGGGACCATCATCAAATAATGGAGAACTTGGCTGCTCTTTTTCAATAACCTGTGAAGTTGAGGCCGAGCTATGTTCTCCCGAAGACTTTTGTCCTTTGAAGCTCCATGAACTTGTCTCTGTTGGCACATGATCATGTGTTATGCTGCTGCTTCCAAGTAATGAAAATCCTAATCCTTGTTCTGGTTCATCGCCATAAGCATCTTCTGAGTCGAATTGAGGTTTATCAAAAAAGGAGCTATGGTCATCAAAAGCCGGGGTAGCAAAAATATCATGACCGTGATTTTCGCTCTCTGTATCTTTAACATTGCTCTGAAACCGGTTATCCTCCAAGATGCTCGGGGCATCGATATGGTCCGAGGCACCGGCGTTATCGTCATCAGAGAAATAGCTCGTGTGTGAACCCGATGAACCCCGGCTTGACTGTTTCTTGAGTAGAACATCTTCATGACAGCTAAGTTTTACATCATCCATACTTGGCTGCTTCTTCACTCTATCTATTTTAGCCAAGGAATCATTCGGCCTCATCTCCGATGAGTTCTCTCGAGAATGACCTCTCCTCCATGAAGCTTTTTCTGATTGCTCATCAGCGTTCTTCTTCTTAGAAAGCTCTGCCTTATTAGTAGATTGATGTTCTTCCCTGTTACTGCTTCTTAACATTTTATCTTTAGCAAAACCTCCGCTTTGCACATTTGAGCTACTAATACGACTATGCGAAGGCTCGTTTCTTAAAGTATCATAAGAGGATGAGTTCGGCGGCTCTGTAGGATGCTGCATCATCCTCATCCTTTCTTTACTTGAAAGCTCAGCAGCTGCACGTGCAGCAAAACTCGCTCTTTCTGCAGATTCAGCAGCTGCACGTGCAGCAGCCGTGGCATCAACAAATTCCGTTTCCCATGGAGATGAATCCCCATAACCTGGACTTGGAGGTCTGTGTTCTGTATAAACAAAAAAAAAGACAAAACTTTTTAATCGAACGCTTCGACACAAACAAATAACAATGAAATAAACTAAAGAAACATCAAACAGAAAAGGTATTTGTAATGAAAAACTAACCCGAAGGTCTCGGATCTTGATGATAGTGATCAACTGTCTTCCCAGTGTTGAAATCAGTAGATGCAGTGCGGCTTGAGGATCTTCCATCAGTTGCATATGAGTTCTGAGTCACATTGACAGTAGCTGGAGCTTGGAAGTGTGGAGCTTGATTGCTTGGGATTCGTGAAGAGGAACTTTCTCCACTCTGCTCAAAGAAATCGAAAAAATGAAACTGAGTAAACAGATTCTAGAGAAAGAGAGAGCTGATGATAAACACCAAGGAGAAGATGTATTACTTACCAACATTACGGTTTCCTTCGGATCTGATTCAACCAAAGATTCTGCTTCCCAAGTTACATTATGCTCTGTAGCAATCTCCTTCAAAATTTTGATCTTTGTTGGACCATCAGGAGCTTTAACAGACAATTTATCCACCAACTAAGCATAAATAGACAGAGAGAGAATCATAAGCAAGAATATGTCTCTCTTCTCTTCTACAAACAAACATAAGAGAAAGGAAGATAACACATGCAACCAACTTACCAAGCGACTCACACCAGAATCAGGTTGCAACCCAATAGCAGCTGAAACAAAATCTTTTCCATACTTTGCAGTGAAATGCTTAACGATATCTGCGAGCTCAGCGACATCTGATAACCTCTGCGAAGCGTATAACACACTCGCGACAGCTTCCTTAAGATCAATAGGGCATGTCCTGAAGTAAGATCACAAACAATGATCAACACATTACACATACCCAAAAAACAAAAAGGTGCGAAAATTTTGGGTTTTGACTTACTTTTGCGACTCAATCACACCCAAACGAGCAACAACAAGTTCGCAATAGATACCAACGAGCTCATAAGCAGCCACTGTCTTCTCTTCTCTCACCACATGCTCCACCTGAGAAAGAAATCCAAATCCATGAGTGAACACACAGACTCATTGATGCGTTTGAAAGTACTAATTAATCGCAGATTTCACTCGGTTTACCAAATCCAAAGATCTTTAATGGAAAACAAAATAATCCGATTGCTTACGAACCCGAATTTTAGCCGTCTGAGTCTGCCCGGACTCGAGCAATTGAGCCAATTCTCTCCTCAATTGCTTAATCTGTGTATCCTTTTTGTTCTTCAGTATTTTCAGGCGCGAATTCGCCATTTGTAAAGCAATTTTGCTTCATTAGGAACAAAGGGAAAAAAAAAAACTAGAAAACATCACAAACGGAAATTGCAATCATTTCGTACATTTCGTATATGTATCAGTGTACCGGTGATAAGAACGTAATCGCAAGAGAAGAGCAGATGAAAATCATAATTACCATTTCGCAGGCTTAAAACTTCGATGAAGCACCTTCTTCATGGAGCGAAACTTAACAAGACAAACGAAAAAAATATCAAGCCTTTAATGCCTGGAGTCGACGAGTACACAATCGAATCCGAGAGCTCGAGGAAAAGAAAAGATATTAGGGGTTTTGACGAAGATCAGACGGAAAATCTGTGATCAGAGTAAAAGGACATTCACGGGAACATGACCCGAAGAAAAGTACTATCAAATAGAGAAGATGGAGGAGATGGATGAATTTTAGACAAAAAAGGAAATTGACCTTTTCGGTAAACGGTTAAATAGTGTTGACGATTGAAGATGACGCGTTATTAAGAAACTCGGAAAATACGAGCAAATGACACGTAAGGAATGTAATTTGATTTTTTTTTTTTTTTTTTTGGTATTCTGGAATGTAATTTGATTTTGTAAAAATATGTAATAATTATTAGATTTTCAACTTTCATTCTTGTCGCAAGGATATAATCCACCAAAATCATGTTAAAATGTATTTCAATTTCTTTAGGAATAATATTATTATAGAATATATAGTTTCTCAGATTTAAAATGTTGATCAACCATTAACATTCTATATCTTAAAAAAAATAGTATTCTTTAAAATAAGTAGTGGGCCTTGTGGCCTTTTGGGTACTTTTTGTTGACATATATAAAATGGGGGGAGGGAACTTTTATGAGTTATTTTTTTTTGTCATTAATGAGCCACAATGGGCCGACCCGAAAGCCCATTTATTTCACAAAGGGGGAAACCTCACTTTGGGAGGAAGATAGGAGTCACAATGACAAAATCAAAACTAAACAGGCCAGAAACTTTTATGAGTTATTATTTTGTTTCTAAATCATTCAGAAATTTGACCAAAAAAATAAAACAAAGTCAGAAACAAAATCTACAGTCTCCTCCGTTTTTAAAAATGAGTAAACATGTGTTAATATATTAATTTAAACCAGGATTTGTTTCCTAATTCTGTGTTGACCAAATAATTTTTATATATTGATCCTGGCCTTCACTCTCCTTCGTCTCCAAGATCTTTTCATTCTCTCCTCTCTTCCCTAGAGTTTACACCGTGCGATCTCAAACCGGAACCACCAAAATCTACTTCTATTTTTGCGGTTCTCATAGAAAAAGTGATTTCATGTAATCCTCGCTGATAAGATGGGATTATATATTATTGAATTAATACGTACATAGCTAACCCCGTCTCGTCGGCGAGAATTACATAAGTTCACTTTGTCTACGAAACCCACAAAAAAATAGCCCTTCAAGCTTGATACGTACGGATGCAATGAGCCTTCCATATCCATCTTCGACCAATGGCCAACGCACGTCAAGGAAAATGGGACACGTGTCTTATGCTAATTTTTATTTCCAATAGTTAAAGTTAATTCATTTATATATCATAAATCACATGTGAACGATGAAAAAACCCAAAACTCTAAAGATTTACTCAAAAAAAAAGAAAATGAATCTATATATTTTTGTTATGAGTTAGCCACGTTATCATATTTGTTTACTTTTCTTGTCTTTTTTGGGATCTTCTACTATTATCAAAGACTTGATTATTTAAAATTTTGATTATATACTTTGAGTTGAAGTTTAGTGTTTGATTTAAAAAAATTGTGACCGAGACTAAAACAATCCTGGGAAATCTACTTTACCAGTGAACGATAACTTTCAAGTTTCAACAGTACACCAATGAACGATTGTTAGGGTTGACAGAAAGAGCATATACAAAAAAAAAAAAAAATTGAATCTTACTATATATTTTCACCGAAACGAAAACACCAGCAAATTTTCAAACTAAAAATTAAAAAAATTGCCTAAGAACCCTTTCAGAAATTAAAAATCAATTATATATAAACACACACACAAAAAAAGCAGAAATGGTCAAACCTCTTTTGATAATTAATTTTTGGTCTACTTCTCCGTAATCTCTATTACCACTTCCTCCTTCTCATCATGGCTCACGAGCCAGCTCAGCGGCTAAACACTGTTGCAGCTCAGACACGATCTGGTTCATCGTTGGTCTGGTGTACCCTCTGTCTCTCACGCACGACATTGCCACCTCCACAAATTTCCATGCTGAGTCAGATGAGAAATCGCCGCGAAGCAGCGGGTCCACGACGCCATCAAGTTCTCCGGTCTCGAAGATAGGCTCGACGAAGTGTACGACGCTGATTTTGTCCCCGTCTTCGGTTTTCACGATGGCTCGCTGGCCAGTGATGAGTTCAAGAAGGACGACCCCGAAACTGTACACGTCGCTCTTCTCGTTCAGCATAAACGTCCTGTAGTATCTGTCACCATGCGCACGTATGATTTATTGTTTAGTTTATTAGATATCTTATGAATCCCAAATGTTGTTCATGTATCTAAATTGGTTACTGTTCTCACTAAACTGAATTAGCCAACCCTAGATCATGTGATCTGTGCTGTATTGGCTAAATAAAAAACCGATGATGTGTAAAAGGAACTTACTCAGGATCAATGTAGCCGGGAGTGCCCATGACGGCAGTCTCAACCTGGCTAAGATCGTCGTCAGGGAAGACCTTAGAAACGCCGAAATCAGCAATCTTGGCTTCCAAGTTATCGTTCAATAGAATGTTTGCTGTTTTCACATCTCTGTGTACTATAGGCGGTCTGCATCCATGGTGCAAATACTCCAACCCTGCCGGGGAAAACAAACAAAGAACCGGTTTCACACCTGAACCAGACTAAACCGGTTTAGCTTTGGAAAATCTAGGATGTGAAAACTGGGACCAACCTTGGGCAGAGTCTATGGCTATATGGAGTCTCTTTTCCCAGCTAAGATCCCCTGCGTTCTCGCTTGAAAGATACTCTTGCAAGTTGCCATTAGCCATGTACTCATAGATGAGAGCTATACTGCGTTCATCATCGCAGTATCCAACAAACGAGGCTAAGTTCCTGTGATGGACTGTCAAAAGAAGCTCCGCCTGACAAAACAGTTTTACACTTCAGCAACGACAACATTGTCTAATCAAAATTCTCTGATCATGATTTTGATGTTCTTTAGATTACCTCGACTTGGAATTCTTTGGAAACGCGGGATGCTGATGATGATGATGCTGGTGATGATCCTCTAGGTAATGTCGGTGAAGAATCTTTAATCATTTTTACAGCAATTTTTGACCCATCTTCGAGGGAGCCGAGGTACACAATACCAAAAGCTCCTTTACCGATCACTTTATTGAAGTTGTTTGTAATGCTAGTCACTTCACTATATGTGAACCTTCGCTTCCCTGAAGGCAGGAATTTTCCTGGTCCTGAATTGGCTCCTGAAACTAAATACACTCGTTTTAAACTTTTCCAGCAAAAAAATTGACTACAATTTATTAACCGTGGTAAAGTTTGCAAACGTCTCACCTCGCTTTCTTTGCCTTAGTATGATCCATATAATAACCAAGACCACAAGGAGAACGATCACTGATGTCGCTACAGCTATTGGAACAACCATGTTGTTCTTCTTCTTGTCTTGACATGAACGTGACTTACAAATGTTTTGGTCATCCGCACTGTAAAACAGAGAGAGGAAAATGAACAAGAGTCAGAGAGAGAGAGAGAGAGAGAGAGAGAGAGAGAGAGAGAGAGAGAGAGAGAGAGAGAGAGAGAGAGAGAGAGAGTGTGTCTGAGTTTTATAACTTTTTTGTAAGATTCTTGAAAAATGTTACCTTAGTGCAAGTATACCGTCCTTAAATTTTTTCATAAGAGATTTTGGGATAAACCCAGTGAAGTGATTTCCTTTCAAATTCCTTGCAACATAAGTAAATATGTCAAAGAGACTAATTCATTATTAAAATAGACCAAGGGTAGATATATGTGAGCTGACTTACAGAATTTTCAAATGCTTTAGATCAGCCAAAAACTCAGGCACGTTTTGCTGTAGGTCGTTGTTCGATAAATCCCTAGGAAAGAAACAATACATGCCTGTCTTATAGTTGATGTGAATAAGTGGTTAAAAGTGTGATTTGTATGTGTATGCTTACAATGACTCAAGAAGGGAGAGATCTCTAAATGCCAAGACTATTGGTCCTTGTAACCCGCTTGAGCTAAGATTCAAGGACTTGATTCGATGATTAGGGTTACCGTAGCTGCATCCAATACCTTCCCAAGGGTACAGTCTTGGGGAGCAAGGATCACCACTCCAAACCTTTTTCACTTTATATGTTGCTTTTATGTTTTCTATCGCGTGAACTACATTAGCAAGAGAAAAAAATGTGAGTTTCTTCACTATGAAATCAAAGAATCAAGGTATAGAGATGAAAACACACCGTCTTCAACTGCAGTTGAAAACTCATCAAGAGACTGTGCCGTGAAAATCTCGATAGCATTGAGAATTGGTGGAAGCGTTGAGTCTGCTGCCTTCTGAACAGAGATCCAGTGATCTTTACCAGTGAAAGCTCTTGAATTAGAGAAAGTCATCGAATACATTGAAGAAGGAACGACAGGAGATTCGGAAACAGGGGAACCATTCCACATAATCTTGATCTTTCTACTCTCTCCCCTCTCCAGCTTTTCGAGCTCCGCGAAGTAAAGATATGCGTAGAACCGAGCATTTGGATCCTCTGATGTCCAGAACATTTCCAACGGATCATCAATGTTTTTCGGTGAAGCAGCCGTCTTAATAACTTCATCAGGCGGCCTGTAACCGCTCTGGAAAACATCGAGATAACTACTTGTTCTTGTTGAGTTCCAAGAGACTGGAGTGTAAGGAGACCAAATACGATCGTATACATCGGTTTGGTACCGTCCTGTTCCGTTTAAGTATCCTGTGTCCCATCTCTGATATAGCAACAATGAGACGTTTCTTCCAAACTCAGTACCGTAGATTGAGCTGTTCACTGGTCTGAGCTCCAAGCCTGAGATAAAAGGAGTTCCTTTACCTTTGTTCACAAGGCAAACGTATATCGTCTCCGACTCTGCATAGGTTAAGATCTCTTTGTGGACTTGCTCTGAAGCGTTCTTGAATTTCACCGTCGACCAGAAATTAACGTTTAGGTAAAGATCAAATTCGGGCAAAGGTTTTTGGTTAACACCGCCATCGTAGTTTCCGTACATAAAAGAAGCCCTGATGAGATAAAGTTTGTCTTTGGCCTTTGAAGGTTTTAAGGAGTAACAGTTTCTGTTTCCTTGAGGGAAAGCTCTTAAATCGGCAAGCACGTAGGGCAAATTCAGGTTTTTCGGGTAATTGTATTCTTCAGAGACGTTGAGATTTTCGCCATTAGCTATGAAATCATCATCGAAGGCGTAATATATACCAGAAACACTGTCTTTGTCGATTTCGTTAAGAGGTTTGCCACAATCGATGCTGATGTAACCTGGATTAGAGGAGAGGAAACAGAGATTACTTCCAACACAAGCCAAAATTTGGTTATGGCGTTCGAGAACGTTTTAAGCCAAACTCGAAGTCAGGTACAAGAAGCTTCCTAACCTCACTTCTCTAAGCTTGCAAAAACAAAATATACATCACAACTTTCAAGAATCTTCAAGAACATCGATCAATTTCGGAATAGAAAACAGAGAGAAAAGTGATATGCATCATTACGTCCAAAACTAGACACTATATGACGTTTTGAGTATCTGTGTTTCTTTGTGTTAATCACAAACTCAAGCTTCTTTCAGTATGAACATATATGGCTAAATTTCAAAATGAAACACAGGGAGGAGAAGAGGGAACCTGTTTGACTTTGGCCGTGAACTAAAATGGCGGTGGCAAGGGCACAAAAAAGGCCGAGAAAGAGAGAGCGATTAGCTCTCATCTTCTTCTCCTCCTGTTTTTTTTTTCCCAAAGAAAAAGAAAAACAGAAGATGTGAGATTAAAATAACAGAAATCCCCAAAAGTACAAAGTCTACTCCTATTTTTTTTTAATTTGGTGGTGGTGACTTGTATTATAAAATCGGACATAATGATGGAACAATTCAAATACTATAGTTGAATAGTCGTGAAACGATAAAAGAAAAAATCTGTTTTAACTTTTGATACATCATTATTGGTTGATGAATTAAGTTTTGCTGTCAATAATTAAAAAATTTATTCGTCTATAATTTATGGATAAAAATGGTGAATGTTCTCAAAATAGTAAACGGGTGGAGTTTTTGACTAGGGTCACCACCATGGCACCATCGTGTCGTGCACGTTTTTGACTAGGGTCACCTTCCGATGAAGCACACAAAAAAAAAAAAAGAAAGATTTATGATCTATTTTGGCTTAGTGAAGCTTTTAGTGATTTGAGAGTAACATCCCCTATATATTACACCAGAAGTTGGATTGTCTTAAAACGGGAAAATCACATATTAAACCTTCAAAATAAGATTTATTAATATTTTAAACCCTGAGATATTTACATTCTCATTGTAAACCATCAATGTACAAAAACTTACACATTTAACCATCATAGTAGATCTCGAGTTTGCACCGTCGACCCACTAGACAGAATAGTTAACTATGTTAACGAAAAAGTGAACATCCGTTAATTTTTGTAAAAATATTATATCATTTTATTATTATTTTATAATTCTAATTATTAAAAAGAAAAGAAAAAAATCAAAAAAAAAATTCCGACACTTAAATCCAAAATCTCCAAATTGATTTGGGGATGTAGAATTCATGAGAAAGAGTGATTGTTTGAATTTTAAAGCGTGAGAAATTCGGTCGGTCTGTTTCCATTTTGATTTTTATGTTTTCATTTTGATTTAAATTTCGAATAAGATGATGGAGCAGCAATAACAATGAAGAATACGAATCTATCAAAACTAGAAAAGTCGGAGAAATCTGAAAAATCATAGAAATCTGCCATATTTGTGTCTCTCAGCATGACAAGATATATTCTGATACTAATGGCGATCGATGTATTGTAAATGATTCTCGTCACGTTTTGAATTATCGTCGTCTATTGGACCAGGTTCAATACTTTATCGCAGGATCCGTTAACCCGACCCAATAAGCTTGGTAGCGAGTGGAGCTCCAAGAGAGACGAGCTCCAGGACGACTTTTTGGGAGCTTGACCTACCAGAAAAACAGAATCAGAAGGGCATGTTCGATGTCTGGTTGCAAAACGGAGAAGAATGTTAGAGATTATATTTGGGTTGAAATTTGACCCGGAAACATTCGATCCGAGTAGCAAGACGAGTCCTTGGCTCTATGAATCCACCAAAGTAGTTTGGGAAGTTGGTAGAAGGCTATGGAAAAGCTGGAATCTGGAAAAAACTTATAAGCTTTGAAGGAGGAGAAAAAGAAGACTGAGAAAATTACCTTCAATTCTGCATTTGAGATTGTAATTTTTTTTTTAATAACTATAACTAAAAAATAATAGTAAAATAATAAACACAATCTTTTCAAAGAATCGACGTTCACTTTTCCATTAACGAGTTAACAATTCCGTCCAATCATTCAACAGTGCAAACTCGAGATCTACTATGATGGTTAAATATGTAAAATTTTGTACCTTGATGATTTATAGTGAAAATGTAAATATTTTAAGGTTTAAAGTGTTAGTGAATCCTATTTTGAGGGTTTAAAATGCAATTTTCCCGTCTTAAAACTATGGGTGAAGCAGTAAGGATGCCCTTAACAAATTTAAACATTAATATTAGAAAAAAATTCATAAAATACGTTTCGTTTTTGAGTTAAAATTTTCTTAAGAAATGAACTAAAATAATACATACAGTACATACTGTAGGCCAGTCAATTAATTGTCAATTTGGTTTTGACTTCAACATTTTTTTTTTTATGATTGTTGCATAACAACGAAGTTACAGAATATACAAAGTTGAAAGAGAGTCATGAGTCAACGTATAAGATTGACAAGAAGTAGACAGAGAGCTCATGCTAGTTTAAAGAAGCAGAAACTTTGGAGCCTTCTTTTGTCTGAATGCCAACTTTTGTTCCAAGGCCATTCGTTGTGTCCGCTCCACTCCGAGCAAGATTCACTTCCACGACGGGGCTGCTTCCTGGCACCGGAGGTTTAAAGATATTACCTGCGCAAGTAAGTGTGTAATAAGAAATGTCACAAACAATGTAACAAAGAGAGTCAGTCATATAGTTTCCAGGATTTTACAAGTGATTCTCATATTGTTTAATATAGTGGGAAACCGTTCAATATACGTAATCACAGGCTGAAAAAATACCTATCCCACTGAAGAAAATGCCATAATCCATTCCATTGTAGACGGTTGGTATCACCGTCGAGTAAGGGCATTGGGTGGAAAATCCAACCTTCTGTCCATTAGATTGTTTTATTGATCTGCTTAGCTTGTTCACGCAACGCTTGAATTGCTTATGGCATTTAACGTAAGTGATACCTGCGTAAAACAAAAAGCTTTCTCTGAGCTTCTGTGAGACTATCATATCATATATAGTTTTGAAAATCCTCTCTTTTTCAAGAAAGCACCAAACAAACCAAATGGAGCAAATTCTAAGATCCAAAGCTCTGATAGAGTTACCTTTTAAATCAACACAGTTGTCATGGGTCATGCAACAAGCATCAAGATCATCACAAGGTGCCTCTCCAGGACATCCATAGTATCCTATCCCACAATACTTCCCATATCGAATGCCGATAGCTGAAATTAGAGTTTGCTCAAATAAACCCAAAAGAGATTCTCCAAAAATCCAAATGAACGCATGCACAAGAAACAAAACAGAAAAAAACAACAATCTTACTGTTGCAATTCTGCGCAATGCAGGTTTTGCTGCATGTCTGCTGTCATTTTTGATTCAACCAATCAGAAAGCTAACAAAATGCAAAGACCATGAACGAAGAACGGCATGTATGTGATCATAACCTGGCTGTGAACGACGGCGAGGAGGAGGAAGGCGACTAAGCCGAAAGCGACATGTGTCAAAGCACCACGGTTAATCATCTCTCTCTCCGGTTGAAGTTTGGGGTTCTCTCTCAAATTATGACCCAAAGTATTAATTGATTATCCTTGGAACTTGGAAGATCCTAGATCTCATTGGTTCTCCTACTTTCTCGTCCTCTTCCTCTTTTATGCACCCAAAGAGTTAAAATCAGAATAAGTTATTTATCTACGTCATTTCTGTTACGAACGAACATGATTAATATATCATTCATGATCCAGCAACGTCTAATGATTTCTACGTAGAAAAAATTAACCATTCAGGTGTTACAAAAAGATTGCAAATGAATTTGGTTCGACTTTTGTATTATTAAAGTGAAAGAAACTTTTGTTCTTATTGATTGCAATCTTATCAAAGAGAGTTTAGCAAAATGGATTTTACTCGGGTCCAACAAGTCCTCTGTATTTCCGTTTCAGGGAAAAACTGGAAAAAAAAATTTTGATTCAGAGAGAATCATGGAAACTAAAAAAAACGGAGGGAAGGGATTACACAATTCTTCAAGTTATTGTTCATCTCTTTCAAGGGTAATATCCTGTGAAGGTGAATCCTCTGCCGGTGATTTCACCTGCGCAATACCACGCGAAGCATTCGAGACCAAACAATGCAGCGATTCCGGCATCTTCTACCTTCAGATCGGCTCTGTTCTTCCACAAGTTCTTTGCGTAGTCTAGTTCCTTCCAGAAGGTTTCATAGCGTCCGGGGATGCTGTAGTAAGGAGGAGTTTTAAAAGTGTTAAGACACTTGAGTAAACCCCACACACAAATGCCAAAACCAACATTTGCAAAATGCAAAACCCCCAAAACTCTTCAATATGGTAAAATGAAGCGAGTTCGATTCATATACAATATAGTAAAAGCTCGATTCCAATTTCGACCATGGGGACACAACTGTTAGAGGAGACATCAAAAGATTCGCAGTATGCATATGGTATTGTTGACAAAAATTTCTTGCTAATCAGAATCTTAGAAAAGTGGTTGTATAACTATGACTGGTTTAAATGTTAAGAGATAGAAAAGGAGAAGAGAGGCAAGAACCTAGCAAGACGGGTGTAGAGCAATTGCTTAGACAGCTCTTGGCACTTCTCCACAGTGGCTGGCTCCTGGATGTACTGCTTGTTCTTCTCCAGCAGCTGTCTGTAGTAGGAAGTTCCATGCTTAGCCACAAATTTCGAAGCTTCACATGCCTTTGATTGAACTTGTATCAACTTTGATGCCATCTTCACAACCAAAAATCTGAATTAAATACAGTAAAAATGTAACATCAAGCCACTTTCAAATTTACCAACTTCTAGTGTCACGAAACTAAAACCCAGGAGGAGAACAATAGCTCCAAAAATTGCAGCAGCATGTTCACAAGAACCCAAATGAATTAAAATCAACATCCGAAAAAGCAAACTTTTTCGAATAATCCGAATCCTCAAAACACGAATTTCGTGTAATATGAGAATTATCTTCCAAAAGAAGAGACTTTTCAACAGATTTCACAAAAATCAAGCTAAAGAAGTAAAAATCTTTAACCCCTAATCCTCAATTACAGAACAGCAGATCGAACGAGCTCCAGTGTGAATCAATCAAAACACCATCAAAACTCGAAATCCTTGGATCCTAGAAACGAACAATGGATAACGAAGCAGGAAGAGATCACAGGTATAGATCTAAAAGTCAAGCACAGAAAAGAACGATACTCAACGGGACTGGGAGCAAAGCCCTAGGAACACAATAAGCCAAATCAAAAGCAGATTCACAAAAGCTCAATCGAGAATCTGAAACACGAAAAGTGCCAGAAACATCGGTTAGAGATCGGAACCTCGCCGTACCTTTTTCAGCAATTGGAATGCGGCACCGACGACGAGCTGAGGGATGAGCCGATTCGTGTGATTCGGGCCACTAATTCAACAACTGCGTCATATGTCACTTCTTTTCTCTGTGTTAAAACGACGCCATAGTTTCACGTTCCGAGATTCTTTTTAAAACGACGTCGTTTTCGCTATCTCCATTTTTTTGAAACGACATCGTGTTAAAGATATTTAGATATTAAGCTTAAGATCAGCCATTAGAGCCATTAAGGTGAAAAAAGAAGAAGCTATCTGGGTCGTCGTCATGTCTTCTCTGTCTCCTCCACCGGTTCCTATGGAGCTCCACGCCGTAAACCGGAGGAAGCTCCTTGATTCAATACGCCTTCACTTATCCAACTCCGATCGTCCTCTCCATGGATTCGTATTCCTCCAGGTACTCTTTTGTCGCTCTCGTATATGCATAATTTACAACGATTATCGATGATCAGAGCTAGCTTTCGTCATTTTTAGCTCATGGTTTCTTCTTCTTCTTCTTGCTACTGTACACGATAGGGAGGCGAAGAAAAAAATCGGTACTGCACGGATCACGCCGAGCTTTTCAGGTACCGATTTGAAATATTGGATGATTCATTGTTGGAGCTATAGTTTAATGACTCGTTGTTAAATTTTGGTTGAAATGAATTGACATCATGCAGGCAGGAGAGTTATTTTGCTTACTTGTTTGGAGTGAGAGAACCCGATTTCTATGGAGCTATAGTGAGTTTTGCAGCTATTTCTCACCATTTTCAATGTAATTTTGTTGCTTAACCAATGAATTGATCCTATTTTTGGTACTGGAAGGACATTGGAAGTGGGAAGTCTATCCTTTTCATTCCGAGGTTGCCTGATGACTATGCTGTCTGGTTGGGGGAGATAAAGCCATTGTCGCACTTTAAGGTTAACTAGTTGAATTTTTTGTTTTTAGTCTTGTTAGTTTCTTCAATACATGCATTTTTTTTCTTTAGAGTAATGGCATTTTTATGGTTTTCTTGTTGTTGCAGGAAACATATATGGTTGACATGGTTTTCTATGTGGATGAGATTATTCAAGTCTTCAATGAACATTCTAAGGGATCTGAAAATCCCCTTTTGTATCTGTTGCATGGCCTTAACACCGACAGCAGTAACTTCTCAAAACCTGCGAGCTTTGAGGTTTCATCCTTTCTTCATCACTTCCTTTATATCTTTGTTGGAAAAAAAGACTCTGTTTTAGTGTAAACACTACGCTCTGGAGATTTGGTCTTGTCTTTTGTCTTCCGTTGATGCTGAAAATGAGTATCTTCTGGCATATCTTGTGATCAAGAGTTTTAGTAATTATCCGAGATTTTGAATAATTCGTTTTCACTGTTTGTTGTGTCTTATTTCAGGGGATGGAAAAGTTTGAGACTGATTTGACTACTTTACATCCCATTTTGGCGGAATGTCGAGTTATCAAGTCAAGTTTGGAGCTTCAACTACTACAGTTTGCAAATGATATAAGCTCTGAAGCTCATGTAGAGGTGTGATATGATTTTCTTACATTTATTTGTTTCTCTTGAATTAATTCTTTTCTCCCAGTGGCATAGTTTACACCAATGAATGAATAAACTTGATGCTCTTCTCTGTTGGATTGTTCAAAATGTTTCGCTTTTGTATCATTTCACTACTTACGTTTCCCACCTGGGATCTCTTATCCACTCCAAGTAGGCATGTTTGCTTCCCTTCTTGCAATTTTCTTGCATGTTTCCAACTTTTGACCATGTCTTTTTATAATCCATATTAAGGTTATGAGGAGAGTCACACCTGGCATGAAAGAATATCAGATGGAAAGTATGTTTTTGCATCACACCTACATGTATGGTGGCTGTAGGCATTGCTCGTACACATGCATTTGCGCAACAGGGGATAACAGGTAACGTTTGGTGAAAATGTAGAAATAATCATTCTCGGGCTTTCAGGTGTTTTTACTGAAAAACTAACAAAACGATGTTAAACTGTTTGTAGTGCTGTTCTTCATTACGGGCATGCTGCAGCTCCAAATGATAGGGTAAAAGAGCAATCATTCTTCTCTTTTCTAATTCTCTCATTATTCCCTGTTTGAAAATGTTTTATTACTTTCTGTTGCAGACTTTTGAAGATGGAGATTTGGCATTGCTTGATATGGGTGGTGAATACCATTTTTATGCGTCTGACATAACATGCTCATTCCCCGTAAGTTATTTTTCTAGCGTCAAACCCATTAATAGATTTCCATTCTATACTTTTAAGAATCCTTGAGTGTGTTACTGAGTGCATTTGCACCACACTGACTTGTTTATAGTCATGTTTACATGAACATCATAATGCTTTGAATCTAGTAATTCAGAGCACGTGATGCTGATATCTGTCAAATATTGTGCAGGTCAATGGTAAATTTACAAGTGACCAGAGTCTAATCTACAATGTAAGCACCTCCTAAGTATGGGGTAACGTTGATGTTGTAGAAATCTGTGCTATATTTTTTGTAAATTTTCCACACAAGCCAGAGGTTGGTGAGCCTCTTAAAGCTTTATGTATAATTAGGTTCTCTGATTTGCGTTTCTTCTAGGCTGTTCTGGATGCTCATAATTCTGTAATCTCTGCGATGAAGCCAGGAGTAAACTGGGTGGATATGCACAAGTAAGATTAACCCGAGATGCTATATAACTCTGTTCAAGTATGCATGCAGATGCAGTAATTGCGATTGCCTATGAACTTAAGCTTGTATTCTCAGTATACTTTGGTCTGTTGTAAACTACAACTCCATATGGTCATTTAGCTTTCTTTGCCAACTGAAGCAAGTTTAATGTAACAGGTTAGCCGAAAGAACCATCCTTGAGTCACTGAAGAAGGGGTCCATCCTCACTGGGTAACTCTCTCTCTCTCTTAGACATTTGTTCATTCAACAACATTTTTTTTGTCACTCTTCTCTAACCTATATTTCATTGTTATGGTTTTCGTCTCTGTTCCTAGTGATGTAGACAAGATGATGGTAGAGCGCTTGGGTGCAGTTTTCATGCCTCATGGACTAGGTCACTTCATGGGCATTGACACACATGATACCGGTGGTTACCCAACGGTACATCAAATCACTTTTTTCACCCAATAGCATCCTCATGAACATGAAACTACAGTCCTCGTTTCTTACCCGTTGTTTTTTTTTTTTTTTTTTTTTTCTTAAGGGAGTGGAAAGACCAAAGGAACCGGGACTGAAGTCATTACGTACTGCAAGAGACCTCCTTGAAGGAATGGTAAAGGCTAATTAGTTTCAAGTAAAAAATGCCTTTGGTTCTTCTCATTTATCGTCTCTGTTCATTGTCCTAATGGTTTTGTATCCAGGTAATAACGGTGGAGCCAGGATGCTATTTCATAAAGGCATTGCTGGTCCCAGCCATGGAAAACGCAAGAACCTCGAAGTTCTTCAACCGTGAAACAATAGAGAGATTCAAGAATCTTGGAGGTGTCAGAATCGAAAGCGATTTGGTAAACGATCTTCACTCTTAACGTTTATAACCCTCCTAAGACTAATTGTCATATATATACAATAATGTCTCGTTTTGTTTTTGTTTGGCTTCTGTTTGATTTTTGGCAGGTCGTTACTGCCGATGGCTGCAAGAACATGACGAATGTTCCAAGGGAGACATGGGAGATCGAAGCTGTGATGGCTGGAGGGCCTTGGCCCCCGATTACTACAGAAAACAATTCAGCCAAGTGAATCATAATTACTCTTTAGCTTATGGAAACTGAAAACTTGTTTAGAAAACTCAATAATTAAACTTTTGTATGGTTCTGTTTCAGTGTGTTGGATAATTTCACTCGCCAATTTAAAAAGGGGGTCACTTATTTGTACGGTCCGATACCAATCCAATTGAACCGGTGCATATATGGACGGAAACTAAACCGGTACAGAAAATATCTTGTAAAACGATTTAGTTTAATTTAAAATTGGTCAACAGGAGAGAGAGAATTAAGACAAGAGCGAAGACTTCTAAGTTGTAAATAAAAGCTTGTGGCTTCCTAAAACCCTAATCTTTGCACTTCGTCTCTCTATCCCCAATAAACCCTTCTTCTCTCATTCTTCGCTTCGTTCTCTCTCTCTCTCTCTCTCTCTCTTCCCTCGTGTGTGACAGAACTAAGAAAAACGATGACTAACAACAACGAGGAAGGGTTCTTCAGCTTTGGATCAGAGAAGCAGAACACGAAGATACGCTTTGAAGATGCTGATGAAGACGAAGTTGCAGAAGGGTCCGGTGTTGCCCGCGAGGAAGCTGCCCAAGATGAATCCATGTGCGACGCCAACGAGACCGCCGACGCCGCTGAAGTCACTGATGACACCACCAGCGCCGATTACTACTTCGATTCTTACTCTCACTTCGGTAATTCCCTTCGATTTTTTCACTTAATGTTGATGTTTTCTCGAAGCTCCAAAATTTTCTTGTATCAGACTGTAGAGGAACTTTGTGCTCTTTGGTTGTGAACTTGTTATGAATGTTTTTTTCCGATTGTTTTGCTTTGATTTGATTCGTCTCTATGCTAATTGTCGACTCTGCTTCCACTTTTATCTATTTTGCAGGAATTCATGAAGTAAGTATCTTGCACTTCAAACGGGAAGCCGAACCGTTTCTCTAGTGGTTTTGTTACAGTCTCAGTGCTGTAAACGAAACAATTCAATATAATTCAGTGTGTTTCTTTTGTATCTATCTGATGACTGATTGATTCGCTGATGATATCTTACAGGAAATGTTAAAAGATATCGTGAGAACAAAGACTTATCAGAATGTTATTTACCAAAACAAGTTTCTCATCAAGGACAAAATTGTTCTTGATGTTGGAGCTGGGACAGGAATCTTGTCTCTGTTCTGTGCCAAGGCAGGGGCAGCTCATGTTTACGCTGTATGTCTCCATCTCTTTCAGTTCATTTCTTTGCACAAGTGACTCTCTTTCTGTCTATTTCTTTTCACAAGTGACTCTTTTTGATTGAGGATGTTCCTTGAATAGGTTGAATGTTCTCAAATGGCTGACATGGCAAAGGAAATTGTTGAAGCGAATGGATTTTCTGATGGTAATTATTCTTCTATGCTGGTTTCTTTCTCACTTTGAGTTGCTTTCGAATGGTGGAACATCTGTTTATGTAACCCTTTGGCAATTTTTTGTTATATCGTTGCAGTTATTACGGTCTTGAAAGGGAAGATCGAGGAGATAGAGCTTCCCACTCCTAAAGTGGATGTGATTATATCTGAATGGATGGGTTACTTCTTGTTGTTTGAAAATATGTTGGACAGTGTCCTTTACGCTCGCAATAAATGGCTTGTAAGTTACATCTCCACTTTGTTTAATAGTAGACCGATGAGCCTATGGTTTCTTGTCGTTATTTGTAACGGTGAAATCTTCTTGCTTTGTTTTCATTGATAGGTTGATGGTGGAGTTGTGCTACCAGACAAAGCCTCCCTGTATCTTACAGCCATAGAGGATTCAGAGTATAAAGAAGACAAGATTGAATGTGAGAGCTCATTGATTTGACATCTTTTTTCTCTTTCTGTTTTTCCAGCATTCATGTTGATCTCTGTTGAGATTTGCATTCTCATACGCTTTTGTGTTTTTCTACTACAGTTTGGAACAGTGTGTATGGTTTCGACATGTCATGCATCAAGAAAAAAGCTATGATGGAACCGCTTGTTGACACAGTCGACCAAAACCAAATTGTCACCGATAGTAGGCTACTTAAGGTAAGATATACACATGACTATGATTTAGTATAGTACTCTTTTACCTGTGGCTAATGCTCGTTTCATTTTTGTTTTTGGGGGATTTGTAACAGACCATGGATATCTCAAAGATGTCATCTGGTGATGCTTCCTTCACAGCTCCCTTTAAACTTGTTGCACAACGCAATGACTACATCCACGCTCTTGTAGCTTACTTTGATGTATCGTTTACCATGTGCCACAAGCTACTGGGTTTCTCAACAGGTACTGTTCTCTGCAATTTTCCTGATAGTTCTGAATACTCTTTGTGATGTGGTTGAGTCACTTGGTTTACACATAGACACATATTTTTGTTTCATTATGGTCTGAAAAAACTGAACAACGATGGGTGTGAAATGCAGGACCTAAGTCCCGGGCTACACACTGGAAGCAAACAGTCATGTACCTAGAAGATGTGTTGACCATATGTGAGGGTGAGACAATCACTGGAAGCATGTCTGTTTCGTATAACAAGAAGAACCCTCGAGACATTGACATAAAGCTAAGCTATTCTTTGAATGGCCAGCATTCTAAGGTCTCAAGGACTCAACTCTACAAAATGCGATGAAGTTCTCCCCAAAGATGTAGAACTTCATTTCTTCAGCTGAAACTGAGAAGATAAAATTCTCAATTTGTGATATTAGTTTTTGTATTTTTTTTTCCTTTTTCCAGTTTTGCAACATTCCATTTGCTTCACATTATTACTCCTTTTGCTTCACATTGCAACATTTATATTATTTTTCTGAGTTATATTTTGCTCTTAACCATTTAAACCATATTGTGTTTCAGAACTGATGTCTCAACACATTCTCTTTAAAAGACTATAGTAACTAAAAGAAATCTACAAAAAAAAAAAAACAAAGTGAAGACGAGTACATTAAAACAGAACCAGTTTAAAACTGTTTCTATAGCTCAGATTTTCCAGATTTAGCTTTCTTTGAAGAAGAGGATTTAACTCCTTTCCACCATCTCCGGACCCGGTTCGACACTTTCTGTGCATGTCTCTTCAGAACCTCACCTTTCTTCTTGAATTCCTTAGTGATTGTCTTTGTCCATTCTTCCTTTTTACTCTCTTTCTCTGTAAAAGCTTTTCCCTGAAACCAACAAAACCGTAAGAACTGTTTTAGAGAAGAGAGTGAAAGTTGTTGGTTTCTTCTTCCGCATGAAAGAAAGTTTAAGCCAAAGATCTGAAAACAGAAACTTTTTATGTACCAAGTTCTTTGGAAAACTTTCTTCTTCTTCCTCATCTTCATCATCTTCATCATCCTCATCTTCATTACCTAATTTCCCCAAGTTATTTTTGTACTTCTCTAAATCTTCTCTAGAGTATACCTTCATGCCAGGTGCTCCTGGCATACCCTGAAGGAACAAAACAGCAGTACATCAGACTTAGCTTAGGACCATCCCATGGATATTGATGCTTGCTTTAAGCTCATCAAAACTCACCTGCATAGATCTCATGATCTTGTCCATTTCAGCATCTTTCGATGGTTTTGCAACAAATGGTTCTCCAGGAACCCGATCCTGGACAAAGATAAAGGGAAGGGACAACTTATCACATAAAGTTTCTTTCTTTTCATCAAAATGTCATCATTTCCACAGCAGAAAAATGAAACATATTCACGGACCCAAATCACCAGGGATTCACACTTCAATCTAAAAAACGGAAGATCCTAGATCATTAGTATAGGAAAGTACCTTGGGAATAGGAGGCGGGTTATTGCTACAAGCATCGGTCAGGTCTTTGCAAAGATGATTTATCAGTGAAACAAGATCAGGCTTAGACTTGTACATATACTCTGCAACATCAGTGTCTGAGTAACCAATGACCTTGAAACACACAAACAGATAAAATCACATTCCTTTAACTCTTATTGCTGCAAGAAATGCAAACCCAATTGTACTAATAGCTGAAAGACAACAAAAGTGCTAACCTTTTGACAAGCAGCCTCGATCGTCTTGCACTCAGAATTGCACATCCCTTCTTCTTCTTGTTCAACCAGCTACGAAACCAAACCAAAACAATCAAATTGTTGATCAGAGTCAACCATCGAGAGATTCAACACCAAATGTACAAACTTTCACTTAAATTCAGTTCTTTGCTAGTTTACCAAGTGAGAAAGAGAGAGAGAAAACTGTAATACCTGAAGCTTATCGCCTTTCTCCACAATGTCAATCTTGAGAATCCAATCAGCTTCCTCTTTCTTCAAGTTGCATACATTTTCAGCAATCTCTATGATCTCATACTCCGAGATCTAACATTTGTTCCCCCCACACGCAAATTTCAGTAACACACCTAAAAGAAAAAAAAATAGAAAGATCACTGATTCATCACACAATCTTACCTTCTTGGGCGAGATCTGTTCTTGCTTCTCCTTCACTAGCTGGTGTAGCCGCGAGGCCAGTTTCTCGCACACCTGACACTTAACGTACGGAACATCCTCCTTTCTCGGCGTCGACGACGGTGTCTTCGCGCCATCGGAGACCGGTAACAACGCCGACGAAGCTAGAAGAGCAAATGACACAGCAGCTATCAGAACTCGACTCATCTCCAACATTGAATGAAGATGACAGAAACTCTGAAAGTTTGGGGCTTTTAATCAAATTTCTAACACAGTATATATAAAGAGATTAAGAATTTAAGATCATATGGGTTTTACGATATGTTTGCCGAGAAATATGGGTTTTGGATTTCCTGTGGCGTATTGTTGAAGTGGAACCGATGTTACGCTTGTTAACGTGTTTCCTGAAACCTTATTGGCTATTCGAGTGCTGACACAGAGTGGAGCCCACTACTCCAACCAATAGCATGTAAGGTTATATTACTGTCTCTTTGTGTTTGTGTGTGGTAACTCTCAGCTGAATTTTGACTTTTAAAAGGGTAACAAAACGTTTCACTGTTTCGGGCCAAAGCATAATCTTGAAGCTGATTTTGCTCATCAGGTTTGTAAGTTTGATCTGATGAATACAGTGACGATTCAGACGGCGACATTGATCCCGGAGTCTTAAAACGCAAGTAGATTTTGTATTTTCCAACAAGAACAAGAAGGTGTTCCGAGACTTGTTTTTTTCTTTCATGAATGTGAGAAAACTGATTATAAGATGTATCGTGTTATATACACTTTGATTCATGGCTTAACAATTATGCATTTTTGCACTTGGATTACATTTCTGTGATGTTGAGCATAAGGAGTTGCTAAAGCAACAAAATGGGCCCATTAATTACTAGGCCCATTAATTAATCTAACTCGATGGCGCAAATGTAAACTAATGGGATTAATAATGATAATCCTGTCTTTGTTTGGCTGTTTGGCTTTGCCGTCGACCAATCAGGAAAAAGACGGAGTTGCTTTGCTTTCCTTCAACATCGACGGCGAGAAGCAAGCTCCGTCCGGCGTTGCGTTGAAACTACAGAAAATGGCAGGGATCGTGATTATATTCGATTTCGATCGGACTTTGATCGACGGAGATAGTGACAACTCGGTGGTGACGGAGATGGGACTCACAGAGATCTTCCATCAGCTCCGCTTCACTTTACCATGGAATCGCCTTATGGTAAGTATTTCATATATATATATATATATTAAGTATCGAAATATCAGCTTCTTTCTATGATTTAGAGTGTCTTCGTTGTTTCTTGAATTTCTATTGATTGGATTGTGGAAAGGATAGGATGATGACGGAGCTGCATTCACAAGGGAGATCGATTGATGACATTGAAGCTTGCTTGAAAAAAATGCTAATTGATTCTCAGATTGTTGAAGCTATCAAATCAGCCAAATCTTCAGGGTATGAACTATGAACACAATGTCCTCTTCAGGACACTGACTACTTTCACTTAGATCCTAATTTCAAATATGGTCAGCTTCCTATTAGCTGAGTGTTATTGTTGAATTTGCAGATGCGATTTGAAGATTGTGAGTGATGCAAACCGTTTTTTCATCGAGAAGATACTAGAGCAGCATGGTTTGTTGGACTGCTTTTCAGAGATTTACACAAACCCAACCTCTGTTGATGATGATGGAAAGTTGCGGATCTTCCCGTACCACGGTGCTGCATCGGTTGCACATAGCTGCAATCTCTGCCCTACAAATCTATGCAAGGTACTAACTACTATATCTTTGTAAACATTACTTACTATGTAGCCTCCATGTTTTGCCATTAGAGCTTGGGATGAGTTTGAGTCCATAAGCTGAAATCTTGGATTCTAAACTTGTTGTCCCTGTGTATATATTATAGAAAGACTTGTACTTTGTGTGGAACTAAATGGATAGTTTAACTCATGGATTGGATTCAGTTTTTGTGATTTTGAGTAGTGAATCTTACGTTTGTTGCCTCAGGGTCTTGTAATGGATCATATACGTGATTCTTGTCCCAAGGATCAAATCCAAAGAAGGTTTGTATACCTTGGAGATGGAGGAGGTGACTTTTGCCCGACTTTGAAGCTGAGAGAGTGTGATTGTGTGATGCCGAGAACGAATTACCCGCTATGGAAACGGATCTCGGATAACTCCTCACTGATCAAAGCACAAGTCAAGGAATGGAGCAATGCAGAGGAAATCCAGAAAATTCTTCTGCAACTTGTCACCGCAATAACAAAAGAAGATTCATAATAACACCAGAGATTGGATTGTTCATGCAAAAAAAAAGTGTTTTTGAAGGTGATGATGAGAACTCTGTGTTTGTTCCTCTTCACTTTATTGGTTTAGGCATTGTTTTGCTACCATCGTTTAAATTCAAAGCTACTACCAATAAAAATCTTATGAGAATGAAGGATTTTTTCGATTTTATATTTGGTGGTATATCAAAAGAAAACATGTACCAAAAAATGAAAGCATGACATTTGACAAAATTTGGAACGAAATAAAAAATTATTTATTGTTAATTGTTAAGAGCGAATTATTATTCAAATTTATTCTATCAAATACTTCATAAGTAGCTTTAAGCCTTAAACTAAATTAGTATAAACCTAGGCGCGTTGATATAACGTGCTCAATTATTGGGCGCGTGTGAGATTTCCATCTCGTTTATACTTTGTTCATTGAGGCATTTCGTCGAACAACACATCATGTATTGAAATCGAAGTTGTTTGTGTTTGCTCTACTTAGCCCGCCATGATTTCTTTCCTTAAAGCTCGCCAGAGGATTCTCTCTCCTCTCGTCACTTCCTCTATCCGCAGTTACTCCTCTAGTCTCTCTTGTAAGTCCTTCTCTCTCTCTGTTAGGCCCGCTTGTGGTTTCAGAGCATATGATTAGCAGAGTTTGTATCTCTACTCTAACCTCTGAGTGATTGTGTGGTTTGGAGCAGATTCTCGTGAAGATTCCGGAGATTCTCAGGTCTTTATACACCCGAGTGCTGTCGTCCACCCAAGTGCTGTGATTGGGAAGGTTTGGTTTGTTTAGTGATGACATTTCTTCTTATTGCCTATATCAAACTATAATTAAACCTTATTAAGATTGGGTGAATTTGGATTTTGCTCCAAGACACACTAGTTTGGGATTAACACTCTGCAAAGTAATCTTTTTTTAGCTTTAGGAAACTGGTATAGTTCGAACAAGATGGGATTTGATGGAAACATGGCCAAAGTGTGATGCTTTGTTTGAGATTTGGGCAAATGTTGATTCCTCTTTTGTCTAACAGGGAGTTTCAGTTGGTCCATACTGTACAGTTGGCTCTTCAGTGAAGCTAGGAAATGGCTGCAAACTCTATCCTTCGAGCCATATCTTTGGAAACACAGAGTTGGGAGAATCTTGTGTCCTGATGACGTAAAGCCCTTTCATCTCTTACTCTACCTTCGTTTGTAACATCGGTTGATCTTTGGTATGTGTCTGTCTCGAATTTTTGTCAGCCAGTGGTGCTGTTGTTGGCGATGAGCTTCCTGGTTATACAGTCATAGGAGGCAATAACATCATCGGTCACCACGCCGTGGTTGGTGTTAAATGCCAAGACTTGAAGTACAAGGTGTGTTAGAGACTATTATATCTTGTCGCCTTTTTACAATTAGGAACCCGAGGACTCATGCTCTGTTTTATCTTCTTTTAGGATGGGGATGAATGCTTTCTTTGCATCGGTAACAACAATGAAATAAGGGAGTTCTGTTCGATTCACAGGTCATCGAATTCCAGTGACAAGACGGTATGCAACTTGTGGTCATTGACCAATATGATTGAAAAAGGTTCGAGATGATTCCCACTTTTTTGTTTTGAGCTCTGGCTTTATACGTTTGAACAGGTGATTGGTGACAACAATCTAATCATGGGCTCTTGTCATATCGCACATGATTGCAAGATTGGTGACCGCAACATATTTGCCAACAATACGCTTCTTGCAGGCCATGTGGTTGTACAAGTAAGATCTTCCTTGTGTCTCCATACTTAAAAAAACTGGACTTAGCGGCATGGTTTTCATCTGGATCTTGTTGTGAGTGCAGGACTATACACACACAGCAGGAGCTACTGTCGTCCACCAGTTCTGCCATATAGGCTCTTTCGCTTTCATTGGTGGTGGTTCCGTGGTTTCACAAGATGTTCCCAAGTACATGATGGTGACTGGAGAAAGAGCCGAACTTCGCGGTTTGAATCTGGAAGGACTTAGACGAAATGGATTTACCATGTCAGAGGTTTGGTGCTGTGTCACAATGTTGAGTCTTTTGAAGTAAGAAGCTGTATATTACTTTAAAGGGTTGCCAAATAATCACGTCTTCTTTTTTTCTTGGCATTTGTAGATGAAGAGCCTGAGAGCAGCCTATCGTAAGATATTCATGTCTACTGAAACAGTCCCCTTAAGTCTGGAAGAGCGTCTCTCGAAGATGGTACGTGTTTATCACTCAAAGTCTCTTCACTGTCTTCTTTCTTCCATGTGCATCTATAACGCAGAAACACCTGGGCATATTGTATTAATTTTGTAGGAACAGAACCAAGAGCTGTACAGTGTTGCTGCGGTTGGTGCCATGTTGCAGTCAATCCGAGATTCTTTCGCAGAAGGTCGCCGTGGGATATGCAAATTTAGACACTGGCTCGATTCATGAGTTTCACAGCTTAGTGACTTAGATTAGACATTCATTGATAAACACAATCCGTAATAATAGTCTAGTACTATACAGTAGATAAGCTTTAACCAAGTGTTGTTTAATGTATGGCTGCGAAACATCATTTACGGTCTCTTGTCATTTAGAACAAAAATCCACAAAAACATTGGTCATACCCAGATATCTTCTAATTTACAAAAATGTTATGTTGGCAAAAAAAAAAAAAAAAGAACAAAGCGAAGCCACGGTTCTTTTATCATCAAAAAAAAAAAAAACAGTCTCGGATAATTAAATTAATAGTTGTTAATCCATCAGATCCACATTTTCATGTGTCTTATACGCTAATTAATCATCTGGAGCGGAGGCCACGGTTCTTGTATAGCCTATGAACACCTAAACGACGCCTAAGCTTTGCAGATTGCTTTTTAGAAATCTTGTTACTACTCAAAGCATTTTCTCCACTCAGTGATTCCTGGACAAGAGTCTCGTTAGTACTCAAAGCTTCTTCTCCACTCAGGGATTCCCCGACAAGAGTCTTGTTAGTAGTACTCAAAGCTTCCTCTCCACGCCAGTAATCCCCGACAAGAGTCAGTAATCCCGAACGCTCATTCATCACTCTTCTTACTACAGCCTTGCGATCAAGAGGCTCACCGAGCAGAGCTTTTGCAAAGTCTTTGTACCAGATATAGACCACTGTTGCAGTTTTTGCGTCAAGACTCTCATTCCAATCTTTAATAGTTTCTATTGCCACTTGAACAATCTCCAATTGGGACAGATAAAGCTGCAGCAACAACAGAGTTTTGCATTCATTATATCATTACCAATAGTATCACTGCCATTGATATATGCAAAAAAAATCACCAGAAAAACCTTACATCTGTAATACTCCTGTCGTGAGAAACAAGTGAAAGTTCCAAGTAGAGAGTAATCCAATCATTGGATCCCAACTCTGATTCCTTCACCTGCAACATATTAAGCACTAGGCATAAGCAAATAACTGATGCATGCAAGTGCCAAGTGAGTGTCATAATTTTAATAATCTTACCAGGTGAAACCGCTTTCTATCACTGAAAGCAATCTCTGAAGAAGGCCATTCAGGCCATTTAGCTAGATCATAATCGTACATTCCGTTGCAATGCGGACGTAGCAAGGGATCCTTCTTTGGACACTTGGTGGTCACTAGGCAATACACAAACATTATATAAATATAAGCAAGCAAGCGACATGTAACAAAAAACTGAATAATGAAGTGCATCACAAGTCACATATATACCTAGAGGTCTAGCAATAGAAACCTTCAAATCTAAAATGCCTATACGACGTTCCTGAACTAGGACATGGAAACTTTGGTGCAGACCGGTGTCTGGAACGCATGCGGCCAAAGTTATGTAGTAACAGGAAGCGCCGCAGTTAATCCTCATGTTGAAACTCTGTAGACTAGAGAGCTGCCAGTTTGTGCCCTAATCAGGTGAAGAAAGAAAACTGAGAATAGTTACTAAAGTTTGTAGAATAAATCCCAAACCTGAAGGTGAGTTTTATTTTTATTTTTTCTTTTGTGTGTGTTTTGCTTTCTTTGTTAGCTTAATAGTTGTTGGAAATGTTTTCAAAATCAAGGCTCTGAAGAAGATAAATGGCGTTGGGACGATTACAAGGTTACTGAGGATTTCCACAATGGAGAAATAGAATGGCTTTCTCATGATTCTCTAACTGGTTATAAGCAGAAGCAGTATTACCAAGTGAGACCAGTTTTAATTTTCTACTATCATGTATATGCTTTCTTTTCACAATTTTGATGGTGTAAGTCTTTTTCTTCTTCTTTTCACAGGTGCAAGAATCAGAGATTCGAGAAAACGATTGGCTCAATCTGTATACTGAATTTGCATTTCATTCGGTACTGTATATAGAGACTTGATAATTTTTTTTTCTTTCACTGTTTTGATTACACGTGTGATTCCATGTTGGTCACAAATTTTAGTGTGTCACTGCAGAAGTTCAACTCTTCTGCGCCTCTGAAGATCAAGAAAGTTGTGGTGCAGACTCGTGAAGATGTGGAGTCAAGTAAGAAGTTGAAGTCCGGGAATGCTGTCTTCTACATCAGCTTCGCTGGCTCTGATGAGACTCAAGAACACAGAGCCGTTATAAGAAGAGTCACCGATGGGATCCAAGGCCATGTTGCTCTTGAAGTCAAGGTTAACTTTGGGGACTTGTCTTGATCATTGATCAAGCCCCTTACTATCAAATAAATGTGGTAGCTACTTCCTATCATACACATTATCAGTTTCGTACAGTGTTGAACCACAATCAAGAAATATACATCTTCTGCTGTTATATTTTTATCTAATGATGACTTGACTTGAGAGTTGTCCTCTGTTTGTCTTGATTTGTTAACATATTGCTCAATACTATTTCTTTCACTGGATCTGTTAAATTCAGATAATAAATAGCTCTACCATTGCAATACATTTAAGATGTGTCTGCTTACAGCATATTGTGTGGACACAAAACTCCTTTGAAAACAAAGATACACAGAAAAACAGTGAAATGAAATTTTCATTTGGTTTGATCACTTTGGTATCATTACGATACAGTGAAGATGTGTCTGCTAACAAGAGCAAAGAGAGCTAAATCATCTTTTATCCCCGTGGCTTCAAGTTTCAATGATCATCTGAAAATGTCGAGCATTAGTCTGGGAAGTATCTGGACTCTAATTGCTATGAATCACCCCCATCAAACTCTCCTGTTTTACTATTCAATCAGTAGAATGATATCCATGTGTAACCATGTTGTTCCAACAAAAGGAGAAATACCTTTTGTAACCACTAATCAAGCCCTCGAGAACTACATCTCGTCCACTCCTACATGCTCTCGCAGTTAAATGCTCATATCACCATGGAAGAACGGTTTATCACCAATGAACAGACCAGGATATAGGAGCTACAGAGCGTTGAGTTTCGATAGAATAGGCCTTGTAACTAGACTGTTCGTGCACTCAACAGATTTGATCAGCGGGTACTTATAAGCATGTAGCATCGGAGCACATTTGGCAACAAAATGCAGCAAGAAGTTTCCAAATTTTAGAGATTTGGAATACTTTTTCACCAACTCCTGAACCTTGGAAACAAGACAATCAACGGAACCTTGCGTTAAAGGGACGTCATGGATCAGAATGTTCTGAAAAAGGATGAACAGTGATTCGTTCCATGTCAGATCATCAGAGATAAGATCTCGGTGACAGGGAAGGAACAGGAACCTCTTCTCTTCTGTTCTTCCACAGAGTAACTTCTGGCAAAACGCAGAAACATGACCCAAGTGCCAGCATTCTTTCAAAACCCTTGAAACCACCTCACAGATGAAGCTGTTGATCCCTTCTTTCCTGAGAATCAAAGGGAACACCAACGCATACTCGGCTGCTCTTTGGTGGATCTTGCAAAACTCGATTGTAGCAGACATCAACACACGAGAGGCGGACTTTTCGAGAGCTAAGAACTTGGGAAGCACGATCGAACAGAGAATCTGGCTTGGCCAACCAAGCTCTTCTTCTTCACTTCCACTATGCAAATTCGAAAGCAAAACCGCAGCAGTCTCATCATCTGCATTCCATGGCTCAATCAAAGCCAAAACTCTAAAAGAGTCTCTACCCTTCTCCAAGCAAAGTTTCCGAATTTCATCACACAAGGTTAAAACTTCAGAAGTGGACTCGAGGCTTGTGATCTGAGCTCTGAGATTCGTGGCCATTTCGTGATCACCGGGCTGTAACGCAACGTTTATGGTATGATCAGTGTTATCCACAGCTTGTCGATGATCAACTTCCACGTTCTCTCTGATTTGACTCATCATCTCATTCCCATTCCAAGAGTCAACAGCCATCATTTCTGAATGTACATCATCATCAGCGCATGATAGTGGAAGCCATGGAAGAATAGAAGAAGCCTTCTCACTGAGCCAATCAGGTACAGAGTCAAATTCCTCCGCAATGATGTCTTCATCATCAGCCGAATCCAAATCTAGACGAGATATCCAATCAAATTTTGGTTCAGGAACTGTATCGAGCAGGTTGTGTGCAGCTCTATGAACCCAGAAGTCGACTTCTTTACCACCACACAACATGTCCCTCGCTAGCCAAATCAAATCCCTACCGCAAAACCTTCGATGCTCGAAAAGAAGGAAAGACAGAATCCGAGACTGAACCATGTTTGGTAATGTCTCCATGAAAAGTATCCTAACGCCAAAAAAAAACAATTTCATCAGCAACCATTCAAATCGGTCCAATTAAACAGAAAACAAACAAAAGGAATCAAATTTTAAATCTGGGCATTACTTGCTTGCAGGCGGAGATGAATTCTGATCGATTAAATCGCATTGTTTCTTCAGGAGTGAAACAAACGAGCTCCGGTTGATCGGAGATGCCGTTGAGGCGGATGAAGAAGAAGACGAGAAGGAGGACAAAGAGTTCGAAGCCTGATCTAGCCAGAGCGACGCCTCGGTTTCCGGCGATGGACTCTTAAAGAAAATGTCGAACAGGGGAATCCACTCCTCCATGTTATGTTCGTCGAGGAAGCAAAAACCAATTCTCTCCGGAAAGCGCGGGAAAGTGAAGTCGTTCACTACTTACTACATTAGTATAAACCCAGGCGCGTTGATATAACGTGCTCGATTATTGGGCGCGTGTGAGATTTCCATCTCGTTTATATTTTCTTCATTGAGGCATATGATTAGCAGATTTTGTATCTCTACTCTAATATAGGGTGAGACACAAAAACCATAACTGAAAAAACCAAACTATACCAAACCAAAAAAGTAATATGGTTTGTATGGTTAAACCTAAAAATCTATTTGATCATTATTTTTTTATAGCTTTGGTTTATGTTTAGTTTGATTAAAAACCGTCAAACCAAAAGGTTTTTTCGGTTTTTAAATTAAATTTTAAATAATTTATATTTTTCTAGTTTCTTAATTTAGTTTAGGTACATATTTTATTATTAAGCTTAGTTATCTTTATAATTTACTAACTTAACTCATAAATTTAAAATATAATATTTATAAAAAATATCTACATATAAATAATAAAGTAAATCTTAATTTTTCAATAAAAAATAACGTGATTAACTCATTTTTCTTCACATTCATGTCTTCTAGTTTTAGATCCAAGGTTACATGTATTAAATTTTAATCTAGATTTGTTTATTATTTTATAATTATTAATTATGAAAGATTTGATAATTTATTTGTTTATCTGTTTTGAAATATGTCCTTATTGATGAATTTTTTATAATTTAGATTCTTTTTTTTGAACTTATTATTTTATTTCACTCATATCTATTATTATTTTTTCTATTAGTTTGAATCAAAATTTTCCGTAAAAGTATAATTCCAAAAAAAACTGAAATCAAACCATATTAAACTGAACCGTTAAAAAGCAAACCATACCGAACCGAAATATATATAGCTTTTATATAGTTTGAATTTTCGTAAAACCGATAAACCGTAAAACCGAAAACCAAACCGAAACCAAACCAAAAACCGAAATGCCCACCCCTACTCTAATCTGTGAATAATTGTCACTTGTCGTTTTGAACAAAAATACACAAAAACATTGAAAAGAATGTTCATTTGGGTAAGTTATCTTGGCAAATCAAAATACAAAAAATATTTATTGTACCTGAGCATTATACACTGATTTTAAGTAGTAATCATGAGGGCACCATTTCGCTGAGGGCACCATTTCGCTTTCCACAGAATTAAGATTCCACTATCTCGCTTTCTTGTGACTCAAGAAACTCTTTTCTAGTGTAGTTTGTGTATACTTTTACTTAGTATCCCTCTCCTACAACAAATGATGAAATGTTTTAGTTTCAAAACAACAACAAAACACATCTATATGTAGCAAAATGCAGAGAATTATTCTGTCAAGTTTTCTCAGACTCGTTGACGAAACTAAAACGATTTCTCTTAGTAAAAGCGCGGGAAAGCCACATTGTTCACTCGTTACTATATTCAAAGTGGCCGGTTGTTTATATAAACTTTCTAGTTTTTTCTACCTCTAATAGAACAATATGCTTTACAAATTGTGTATATAATTTTTGTGGAATCATATATGTCGAGAGAAGTAAAAATGAAATGCAGTTTTGTTGGAAACAATGTAGAATCATCCGAAATCAATTTTAATCTATTAAAATTAAAATAAATGGACAAACAACAATGCTTTAACATGTTGATCTTTTAGACTGATAAACACCTTGATCCAATACAATTTATAACAGAGCATCTATGTGTGCTAGTCAAAGACAACATGACTACTTTCATTATACTTACTTTTCTATAGGTATCTGAACAAACATTGCACTTGGTTGATGGCTTCGGTTTGGCAAACTTCCTATCACTCATTTTCACTAAAAAATCTTGTTTATAGACTTTTCTATCATAAACAAAGATGAACCATAATTTCTATTTATGGACTTTTCTATTAATGAGTTCAGCTGTCTCTGTTGAAAAAGAATGAAGTAATTTACAAGTTTTACTATCCAAACAAGTCACAAAAATTCACAATCACGCTTCTAAACTTAAAAAGAAAATGTTACTACAAGCCCCTTGCGCTCTCACTTGACGGCTTAGCGGTGAAGATTTCCTTGACAATCTGAAAACATTGCAAAAAATAACATAATCTCTAGTTTGCAGTCCATTGAACTAGACATAGTTCATAAATCAGTGATGCAGTCTATGTACCTGAGATACACGCCAGTATGCATATGATGTTTTTAGCCCCTTCACAACTTTGATTCCAGAAGTAGGATGTGTTTCCATTATAAGTGAGAGTAACTCAATTGGTTATAATGGAAAAAATGCAAGCAAGCTCTTCTACAGTTTCTTGACATATGTTCAAGCACTCCAACAAAAGTACAGCAAAATCTAATTTTAGATAGAGATCAACTATGGACACTGAATATGTTATATGTAATTTGGGTATCTTCTATATTATTCTAGACAAGACATATAAAAATAATTTGTGATTATCTTTACCATAGTAGGGAGACTTGGACGACGACACGACGACATTTTTCCTGATATTCTTTGAGGATTGCCATTTACAGTGCAGTAGTACATACAAAAAGAAATACCTTTAAGAATCTGTCATGTTTCACCATATCATTGTGGTTTAATCTAACTTTGAACAGCAATTCTCCGTTCTCTTCAGCCAATATGGAAACTTAATGCATTGCTATAAGTACAGAATTACTTTGCATAGGGCCAAAGTAAACTTCTTGTCACACTAAGAGAACCAGACACATACCCCTTTTAGTGAGTACATAGTCAGGCTTAAAGACAAACAACAATGCTCCAGCAGGTTGATCTTCTAGCCTGATAAGCACCTCCATCAAAGACAATTTATAACAGCATCTATGTGTGCTAGTCAAAGACAAGGTGACTAGTTTCATTATACTTACTTTTCTGTAGGTATCTGAACAAACATTGCATTTGGTTGTTAGCTTCGATTTGACAAACTTACTATCACTCATTTTCACTAAAAAAACTTGTTTATGGACGATTCTATCATAAACAAAGATGAACCGTAATTTCATCATCATATAAGAAACTTTTTAAACATAACATTAAATGAATAATTTGAATCAAAATAGCAAAAAAAGAAATATAAGATAATGCCCTAATATTTTAGCAATGGGTTGTTTTGTTTATGTATTTTTGTAGTTTCATAAATTTGTTAGAAGAAAAAAAATGATTGGTTGGCAAACTTTTGATAATTTAAGTTTTTTGGCCAAATGTCTTCCAAGAAAAAATTAATTGCCAATGAACTTATTTTATGCTTTTTACCTAATATTGAACTGCAAGAGTGAACCAATGGTTTGTGATCATTCATCTGTAAATTGTAATTGTTCAATCACATATATAGATGTCCAATTAGCTCTATATATTTACAACATGTTGAAAAAAAGAAAGAGGAAAAAGTCTCCGTATCAATTTGTCAAAAAGCCCTAAATATCTTTGAGATTGCCTTGTGTCTAACAACTGCAGAAATCGACTATGACGACCGCATCATCCACCGTGTTCCAGGTTCGCCACAAGTTTTTTAGATTAATCATGGATCAGATGTTCTCGATCGATAATATTTTTGTAAGGAGATTGTAAACAGCTCGAATCTTAAATGGAAAGGGATATCGATTGCAGTATAGAAGGACTTTCTTGCAAGACAAGGACCACAATCTTTAGATTTTGAATCATCTTGTCTGGAGCTTCATTGGTTGATTATTGGCGCAGGATGTGTTTACAACAAACACTGAGCCTGAGCCACCACAGCGCAATCGAAAGGCTGAAATAACCGCCGCACCTGAACCAGATAAAGGCAGTTTGGGCTCGGCAGCAGAATGTTCTGCCGCTGTGAATAACGGACGTGATTCTGACTCTTCCGACGAGGATGAGGTTGATCCAATTCTGAAGAAAGAGTTCTATCGCCAACTTCACGAGTCCAATGTAATATTACTTAACTAGTGCTCAGGATGATTCATCATTACTCTTATCATGCAATTCGTTAGTGACTTTTGGGTTTTTGGATATATAACACTGCAGGGATTCGATGTTGACAGAGTTATTCCAAACAATTCACTCTCTATGACCATATGTGACAACAAACCAGGTTTGTATCATGACATGATTGTCGTTTATGCTAGAGTGGGACTCCATTGGTACAATTTTCACAAGATACAAAAATACAAAATCTCATATGGGCTTGTAATGGAAATTACGATGGTCATGACACTAATCCCAAGCTTGACATTTATGTAATGTTTTGATCATACAGGGCTCAAACTTGCAGTTGTCGAGGGTAGACAAGTTTATTTCAATAATGTGTGGAATCTTCGAGTACTCCATAACCTTGGAGGCGAAAGATCCAGCCAACAGTTCCTGTTTAACTTTCCAGACCCGTGTTTTAAGAGCTGGGTGTATAAATGGCGAACACCTGAGAATTCAGACCGTGGGTTGTAGAATAAAACCACAAACTCAAGGTGAGTTTTGTGTGATGTTGATGATGGAACTGTTTCGAGATTTGTGTGCTGGTTCCTTCTTTATTATCTATGATCTTGACCTTGCTTCTTTTTTCCTATAAAAAAAAAGGTACTGGAGACAAAATACATAGATGGGAGTACAATGATGGAATTGGTGAAGTTTACAAAGATAATCTACCTAAGTGGATTTCGGATGATGCACTGGTGCCATCCAGTGATCAGCACCATCAGTTTTATCAAGTGAGCGCAAAGTTGTTCTGTTGTGTATGCTGTTTCTTCCTTCTTCTTCTTCTTCTTCTTTTACTTTTGCTTTATGGTTTACTTTTGTTGTTTCACAGGTGAAAAATTCGGATATTGGAGAAAACGATTGGCTTAATATGTATGCCGAAATTGCCATGTACTCGCTGCGAGAAGGAGACATGACGTTGCTAGAGTCTTGGCTGCCTCTGGAGATGAAGAAGGTCGTTGTACAGACTTATGATGAAGATGTCAAGTCAAAGGAAAAACTTAGAGCCGGGAATGCAAACTTCTACATCAGTTTTCGGAACCTGAGTGCTCCTCCTAATGGTCTGCTCCAAGATCACAGAGCCATCGTAAGAAGAACCACCGATGGGGTTCCAGGACACGTTTCTCTTGAATTCAAGTGTTGGCTCCACGAGTAACCCAACCTTGAGTCGCTCTATTAATTTCAGTAAAGTTTGGTCGTCTGAGACATGTTTTAGCTACTCTATCTCTCCTACTCGGTATCCATAAGTTTTATCTCTTTTTAATGTGTAATCCCCACCTAATAACTAAATCTGTTTATGTTTCAACTTTTAAGTTTATGAATCATGTTTACAACAAGCTGCTGGAAACTTTTTTGGCACCTTGAGCAAAGTTTGAATCACGTTATTTGTGTAATTCAAAGTTATTCTTTTTCTGCTGTTCTACAAACTTTTTGTATCTACGATTAAATTTACCCCAATTTAATTAAAATACTGAAGAGTACTTGAAGTTAGCATCAAATGATGTTGTTATGTGAGAATTCTCTTCATTTGGAGACGACATCAATTATGAGTGAAGAGACATGACGAGGCTCTTCATTTGTATACCGAAACTGCCTCTTAGTCAATGTGGGAAAGAGACATGATGTGCCATAAGAGATCAAGAAGGTCGTTGCACAGACTCTCGTGAAGATGTGAAACCAAAGGCAAAGCTCAAGACTACTAGTTTTAGTTTGTTAGGGGCAAAAAAAAAAAGAAAGATAAAATGATTAGTTTGCAAACTTTTGATAGATGAGGTTATTTTACTAATCATTTTCAAAGAAATAATTAATTGCCAATTACTATTTACAATTTACAACATGTTGGGACAAATAACTTTGTCAAAAAAAAGCCCTAAATTTCTTTCAGATTGCCTTGTGGCAGAAAATCGACTATGACGACCGCATCATCCACCGTGTTCCAGGTTCGTCATATGGATCAGAGTCTCTCGATCGATAATTTTTTTTGAATGAGACTGTGAACAGTTAATCGATATCTTAAATGGAAAGGGATCAGATTGCGATATAGAAGGACTTTCTTGCAACACAAGGACCACAATCTTTAGATTTTGAATCATCTCCTATGCCTCCATCTGGAGCTTCATTGGTTTCTTTGCCAAAAAATCTTTTATTATATATATGAAAGTTTAAATTTGATTCTAAAAAAAAACTCTGTAAATTTAGATCTACATGTGTTTCATTTTCATGGCGCAGGATGTGTTTACAGCAAACACTGAGCCTGAGCCACCACAGCGCAAGCGAAAGGTTGAAATAACCGCCGCACCTGAACCAGATAAAGGCAGTTTGGCCTCGGCAGCAGAATGTTCTGCCGCTGTGAATAACGGACGTGATTCTGATTCCTCCGACGAAGATGAGGTTGATCCAGTTCTGAAGAAAGAGTTGTATCGCAAATTTCATGAGTCCGATGTAATTATAAATTGTGTTCCCTATAGTGCTCAGGATGATTCATCATTACCCTTATTATGCAAATTGGTTTTGCTTTCTATTGACTTTTTTGGGTTTTTGGATGTATAACCCTGCAGGGATTCGACGTTGACATAACTATTCCAAACACCAAAATCTCTGTGACCAAATGTGACAACAACAAACCAGGTCACTACCCTGAGATGATTGACATTTATGCTAGAGTGGGACTCCATTGGTACAATTTTCACAAGGTACCAAAAAAAAAAATGATCATATTGTTGTTTAATCAAACTATGTGTTAGGGTAGAACATTCCTATTCTGTCTTGCTTGTATATTGGTTTGAATTTGATAAGATTAGTTTATATGACAGTACCAGTCACATACTTTGTGCATTTACTCTTTCTTGTTTTCATGTAATTGTTTTGATCATAAAGGGCTCAAACTTCCACTTGTCGAGGGTAGACAAGTATGTTGAAGCAATGTGGGGAATTTTCGAGAACGAGTACTACATAACCTTGGAAGCCATAGATCCAGCCAACAATTCCTGTTTCACTTTCCAGGCCTCTGTTACAAGAACTTTGTACTGTATAAATGGCGAACCCCTGAGAATTCAGACCGTGGGTTGTAGAATAAAACCACAAACTCAAGGTGAGTTTTGTGTGATGTTGATGATGGGACTGTTTCGATATGTGTGGGCTGAATCCTTCTTTATTATGTATGATCTTGACCTTGCTAGGTACTGGAGACCAAATACATCGATGGGAGTACCATGATGGAATTGATGAATTTTACAAAGGCAATCTACCTAAGTGGCTTTCGGATGATGCATTGGTTCCATCCAGTGATCAGCACCATCAGTTTTATCAAGTGAGCGCAAAGTTGTTCTGTTGTGTATGCTGTTTCTTCCTTCTTCTCCTTCTTCTTTTACTTTTGCTTTATGGTTTACTTTTGTTGTTTCACAGGTGCAAGATTCGGATATTCGAGAAAACGATTGGCTTTATATGTATGCCGAATTTGCCATGTACTCGCAGCGAGAAGGAGACATGACGTTGTTAGTCTTGGCTGCCTCTGGAGATCAAGAAGGTCGTTGTACAGACTTATGATGAAGATGTGAAGTCAAAGGAAAATCTCAAGGCCGGGAATGCAATCTTCTACATCAGTTTCAGGAACTTGAGTGCTCCTCCTAATGGTCTGCTCCAAGATCACAGAGCCATCGTAAGAAGAACCACCGATGGGATTCCAGGACACGTCTGTCTTGAATTCAAGTGTTGGCCCCAGGAGTAACCAAACCTTGCGCGACATGTTAGCTACTCTTATCTCTCTAGTCTCTACTCGGTATCCATCAGTTTCTCTCTTTTAATGTAATCCCCACCTAATAACTGAATCTGTTTCTCTTGAGTTTTCAGTGTTGGCAAGATTAAGGATTAACAAAGTTTGTAGAGAAATAAAGCCAAACATATAAACTTGGTTGTGGTGATTGTACTTAATGTTGTGAAAAGTGGAATATTCTCTATAAACCACATTTTCCGAAGTTATCTCAAATGAAGACTGATTTCCTCCGTCTCTATCTCATTTTGGTCTAAATACATGAAAGGTTTTGAATCTCAACTTTAAGCCATGGGGAGTTTTCTGGAGTAAACAACGTACATTGGATCTGAACGCCCGGGATTTGGAGATATATCAACCGCCTGGATTGGTCACAACACAAGTTGGAACGAAATCATTACGAAGAACAAGAGTGGAAAAAAACGAATTCATTAAAAGGTTTCTTCTAATAAACAGTTGTGTTGGTGAATGATGAATATATAGAAAAAAAATACCTGAGGAGGTTCAAATCCTCCAGCATAGTGAAAGTATGATCCGACAATGAGAGCGTGATCTGCATCACCAGTTGATGTCCATATCGATATTGCTTTAGTAAAGAAGCAACGGTTCGAGAAGCTGCAGAGACAGATAAGAGGAAGTGATGAGTGTGCGAGTATATACACAGTACATTACGGTGTCACAAGACTTGACAGGTTTGTGTTAAAGAGAACCTCATTAGAGCGATTCCTCCAGGCTTGAGGATTCTATTCATTTCCTTGAAAACTACAAGTGGCTTTGTAAGATAATCCACACTTACCTGTTGGGATGCCAAGAAACAAACTAAATTCATAATACAACTTGAGATGCACTTAAGAAGTGTAAGTTTTAGAGAAAGCTTGGTCTTACCACATTGGTGATAACTTGGAAAGAGTTGTCTTCAAAAGGAAGCTTTGGATTGGTATTCAAGTCTTGGACTATGTACTCGGTAAGAACCTGAGAGAGACAGAGAGAAAGTAAGATCCTATGATATCATATGATGATCCATCTCATCCCTAAATGGTAAAATATATATAGATGATACTGAATCTTCTTTACCGGATTGCGCTTAAGTTCTTCTTCGTTCATACCCATACCAACTATTCGTTCTTGCTTGTAACCGGCTGGATAATGACTGACCTATGTAACATCATCATAAGAACCAATCATCTAACTTCAGGGGATTCTCATTCTCAGTCAAAACTTATGACAACACAAAGGATTTGAATTTTGTGCGTACCCAACTGCTACACATATCGAGTATGCTCACTCCCGGAGTATCGCTCTGAGGCAAAACCTTGGAGTAATACTTTGTCAGTGCAGCTATGGCTGGATCATCAATGTGTGTCACAAACCGTGGAGATTCGTAAAATGTTGAATCAGACGTCCTGACAAAACCCAGAACAGAAGTCCCAACATTTCATTATGTATGGAAAAAGCAAAACTGATAGGTCGGACATATGTTTAGCAAAGAAGAAAACAGAGCAAGGCTATATAACCAAAAGCTTGGAACTTTATCTTACTCGTCGAATCGCTGGAAATCTTCTTCTTTGAAAGGAAAAGTCTCGGGCCAATTCACGTTATTCAACGCCTAATATCAAACAATGTAGTTCGATTTCAAATTATGTATATTTTCGTTCTTTTACAAATAGACGACATTTTCGATTTCTGATTTTGCAATGCCACTGATTAACCCAAATGCCTAAAACAACTGACTTTGAAACAAATTAGCTGTTGATAAGAAAAGTGAGAAGAAGACCTGTTCGACGGGAGAAGGATTCGTCTGCCTCGCGGAAGCGATGAATGCTTTACCGCCAAAACTACCGGACATGTTGTTCATCCACAACGAAACGCCGCCAAAACCGCCCAGAACCAGCCGGCGACGTGAAGAAGCGCGAATCCAACGGCCGAAAGGTCTAGAAGCAGCCGTCGAGAGATTCAGAGCAGAGGAAGCTCGGAGGAAAGGGGAATTTCCGGTGGAGGAGAAAAACGGTGGGGGAGTATTGGATCTGAGGCCAAGAAAGTTACAAGTTTTCGACATTATTTCATTAACTGGTGGATTTTGTCTGGTTTCGAAGATGGTTTGGGATTTTCAGGACAGAACATGATGAACAGAGGGTCTCGCGTATCGAAGAAGAAGATGACGATTCGGACTCTAGTGATCCAAACCACTCTTACGTGGTCGTTTCTCTCGTGGGGGTGTTTATTCTACTTTTTAAAAAGCTTTGGGGAAGAAACTGCAATAAAGTAAACTTGAAAGTCTTTGTGCAACAAAAGTAATAAAAATTTAGAGTAATTTAATCACACATTAATCTATTGTTTATCATTTATAAATACTTGTTTCCACTTCTCATCTCTGTCCCGGGATCTCTCTCCACATAAATCCCCAAACCCGACCCAACCCGAACCGGATCGATCCGAAACCACCTACAGAAAATGGATCGACCCAGCTTCGTTATCCATCCCGAAGAAGCTGAAGCGGCCGCGAAACGACTCGGCGTCTCCGCCCTCCAGCTCCTTCCTTTGCTGGTCAACCCGGCGAAATCACTCGCTCGGCCTCCAATCTCCAATTTCTCCGTCTCCGCCGTAGGACTCGGATCGTCGGGCCGGATTTTCGTAGGCGTCAATGTCGAATTTCCCGGTCTCCCTCTCCACCATTCCATCCACGCCGAGCAATTCCTCGTCACCAACCTCACGCTCAATTCCGAGCGGCACCTCCGTTACTTCTCCGTCTCCGCCGCTCCTTGCGGCCATTGCCGCCAATTCCTTCAGGAAATACGCGATGCTCCTGAAATCAGAATCCTAATCACAGATCCAAACGCCTTCCGCGACGCCGCCGCGGAGGATGGCGACGGAGATGGATTCGTTCGCCTCGAGAGCATCTTACCCCACAGGTTCGGCCCAGACGATCTACTCGAGAAAGACGTCCCTCTACTTCTCGAGCCACACGATAACCGCCTCACTCTCTCAGATCCCGATCATCTCCCAAACGGAGAATTCTGCAACGGCTACATAGATTCCGACATCTCCTCCAATCTGCGGGGCACGGCTTTATCGGCGGCGAACAGATCGTATGCGCCGTACAGTAGGTGTCCGTCGGGAGTGGCGCTGGTGGATTGCGAAGGGAAAATGTACAGAGGATGGTATATGGAATCAGCTGCGTATAACCCTAGTTTGGGGCCAGTACAAGCGGCGCTGGTAGACTTCGTTGCTAATGGCGGAGGCGGAGGGTTCGAGAGGATCGTCGGAGCTGTGCTGGTGGAGAAGAAGGATGCCGTGGTGAGTCAAGAGCTCACGGCGAGGATGCTTTTACAGGTTATATCCCCGAAATGCGATTTCAAGGTCTTCCATTGCTATGAATTCTGATTTCTGAGATTAAAACACTGATCTTTTGTTTCGTATTTGTTGAGGATTGATTCATATTTCTACGATGATGATGAAAAACTTGGGAAATGTAAATAGTTAAGTGAATAAGTGATAATCCAGTAGGGGAATCATACTTTGTCTTCGTTATTGTATTGGCTGATTGGGGATTATACAATCATTACGTTTACCGAACCTTCCATTGTTTTTTATTGATTCACCGTGTAGTTCGGTTTTGTTTCTTCTTAAGTTCATAATTCTTTTCTGAGTCTTGTCTCGATGAAGTACACTTGTGTCTGATTAAGGTTAAGAGTAGGATGAATCAAAAAGTTGATGCCTTTACACATGAATATTCGTTATGTAGTAAGAAAAGGGAGTGTGTACTTTGTAAACTGCAAAACAAACCCACAAGAGAATATATTCCAGAATTGGTAGTAACTAAAGACTTCGTTTTGGAACAATCGTAAACAAGTTCACTCATTTCCTCTAATCCCAACCATAAAAAAAAGTGGGTTTTGCTTAAAAGAGTCCAAGATTGAGACTTTGTTGAGAGTTAAGACATATAAGTCGACGTCTCTGTTCTGCTCATTGTCATTGTAGACATACAAGACATGTTGATGTTCCTCCACCGGATCTGCTGCGTCATTTTCGCAATGGCTATGTGAAGAACTCAGGAGCAAAACCGAAAGTAGTGTTTCATTTGCTAAGAGGAGGAAGAAATCGACGAAGATGCTGTGTTCATTGTCACCTTCTCTTCATCATCTTCCAAGACGAACAATGCCTCTGTATTCCTACACATGCCATGCACTAGAACAACGGGCAAACAAGCCAAAGCCCCGATCATTATACTGCGGGATACGTCGGTTAACAGAAAAGTACCAATCGTGAGGACCAGCAAGATCAGCACCAAAGCAGAATCATCGATCACACTGCCGAATAACACCAACGGTTCATTATCCCTGGAGTAGACATATAGCCATGCGAGTATCAAGATAAAGAAGACGGAAAGGTGGACCGGTTGCCAGAGCAAGCTGATGAAGATCGTGACAATGAAGATGACAATGTAGTTGGTTCGGAAGATCACGATGTTGGTTTTGATTCGTTCGGTGGCAACACTAAATGAGATAGGAAGGCTAAAGGCACTACATTGCACAAGTTCAAGCCATGGCCTTTGAGAGCTAACGCCTGACGAGATCAACTCTTTGGCTCGTCCTAATAAGCCCAAGCTCGACGATGCGTTTGCTTGAGATGATGGTATAGTGCCATAGGTTGTCATATTCTTTCACAAGCGACAAACAGAACAAAAAGAGAGAAAGAAACAGAGAACGTGAACCTATATGGAGAAAAGAATGTGAAGAAGAGATAAATCTGCGTCGGCTCAAAGTTTCTGAGAGGTTGTTAGATCGTCTTTCTTATTTGGGAATGTTTTATTTCAGGACAAAAGAAAGAGAGGACTTCCATGAGCTCATGTCAATAACAAATCGTACTAATAATGGAGAAATGAGAGAGAGAGAATCAAAGGAATGCATAGATGGATACCCTTAAACTTCTCACAGGATCCTTTTAATGCTATAACAAGACTGTCATTACAAATCTAATAAGCGTCACTAGATCTCATTGTTCTACAAGGACAATATACCAACCAGCTTAAATCCACAGAAACCAAGTAAGGAGTGCATTCAATAGAACACAGAGTTGTTTGATATATATACCAGTGAAGGAGCATAATCCATTTAAGGCTGCGCATCAAAGTCGGAGATATACCTTTGACCATAATCTCTGTCACTGGCTGCTAGCATCTGAAGCAATAGCCTCACCACGATAAACCCTCCATGGTCCTCGATAGAATATTGGCTTCATCAAAGGCACCGTTTTCCCTGGATGCTCCTCCCAAAATTTCTCCTGTATATAGAGTGAAGTAAGCATAAGTTTTACAGTAAGAACAAGAAGCATAACTTATTCAAGCAATAGATTCAAATAGAACAGTGCAGGAAACACAATGACAAAAAGAAATCAATATACACAGGAAAAGTCCTAAAAAACCACGGATCAAGAATTTCATTTGCTTCAACTTCTGATAAACTATATACCAATCATTCATCAAGACGCAAAAGCTTCGTTGATAGAAGATATACGTAATGAACAGTTCCATGAAGAACAATTCAAATGTAGTTTTTTTTTCTTGAACACGAAATTCTTAAACAGTAATTAACAATCCTCAATTCCCAGAGTATTGATGCACAGACGCACTTTTCAGAAAATCTCGAAATGTTCACATCATCACCAAAGAAAAGTTTACAACTTTATCCCATTTCGAATCCCGAAGACTACCAATCACGAGAACTCGAGATCGAAAACACTAAATCGGATAGGAACCCACAAAAACTAATCACAAATCCGAGCCGAATCGATAACTACCCAATAAGCTTACCTTGTAAATCTGCTCTGTAACCGCGGCGCCGATGACGCCGGTGTAAAAGGCGGCGACATAGATAGTAATCAAAGCTGTGAAGGTTTTGGGTCGACGGTAAGGTTCAATCATTTCCCAGACAGCAAACCTCTCGAACTTGTTGTACTTATAATCGGCGTATTTCCTCCATAGTTGGCTCCACATTCCTTGCATCTCTAAGCTTTCTCCTTCTCAACGTTCGCCGAATTCTGGATTTCGGATTTCTCTTTAGTTGATTTCGCGGCGGCGCGTGGAACCTGAGAGACTCTGGAAACAACCAAAGACTTTAAAAAAACGTTAAAAAGTTTACCAAACCAGTCCTCATAATCCTGTAAGTTCTAGTTTTCAGCCCTTAACTTATACCTTTGAAGTTGCATATGATATACATTTGATTTGAAATTAAGATAATCGTATAGAAGTTAGCATTTGATTCCTGTGATCATCGTATTATCACCATTTTGCTAACAATTGCTTGTTATATTGAGGAAAAAAAATTACCCCAAACTATGCAAAATAGACATATTTAACCTCACACATGCATCATACATCATACATCAATAAGCTTTGCTATGTAGCAATAAGGACCAGTAGTAAAATTACATTTGCAAATGCATATAGGCAAAAGAATCACAACATGCTTCAGGAAGTATTCTTTTATACCAAACAAAAAAAAATTGACAGATATACAGAATATTAAAGCTCAGTATTTGCTTGAGCAACCAAAGATCGTCGCAGTAATAAATCTAAAAACTCTGGCACTTCAACTTGATCCAGCTGCTTTGGCTGATAAAGATTCCAAGCTTAATCCTTCAGGTCCTTTGGCTGGACCGATGCTGCAACGATCGGTATTGTGCAGTCGGATTCCATCTTTTATCTTCTGAAACTGAAAGAATAAAAACTCAAAAGAGAATGTCAAATAGTAATCAGAGACAAAACCACATGCGTTCAACAAAGTTTTGATCTATTATATCAGCAAAGAGTTGATGCCAGAATGCACAATGGGTTCAATATTCAAAGCTACGTTTCATCTTTTACCTTAGCAAGAGAGCATGAGAAGGACTCAAGCTGGCCATCAGCTCCACGGTAAAAGTGAAAATAAGGAAGCACTTTCACGTTCAAACTCTTGCACATTGGCTTATTCTCATCAAAGTTTACTTTGAGGAACAATATATTCGGATTCTCCACAGCTGTCTTGCAAAGCTGAGTTTTTTTTTTCAAACAAGACACAACATCTCTTAATATATCTTAGAATCATGAAAGAGACATTGAATTATTATAGCTTTCATCAAACAGATAAGTCAGAGAGGTAACATGGCACTAACCTTCGGGAACAATGCTCTGCAAGAAGCACACCAAGTTCCATAAAACTCTACAATGACTAATCTTTCGCCTGCCTCGCTTAAAGCCTTCAAGAATTCTTCAGTAGAATGAATGTCGACCATGTTTGGTCCAGGATTCCTCTCCCACCATTTCGGCGGCTCTGTCTCGGCCACAGGCTCATCTACCTAAACCACAGCAAACACACATCAGAATGTTAAAATATGGCCGGAAGCATCACCGTCTAGATTGAATCAATCCAAAGCATCATCCTTTCTAAAGAAAAACTGAAGCTTTGGACTAACTTTCTTAATCATATGAAGTGGGATGAGATTCTGCAGCGAATCATAACAGTACCATAATTCAATGAGATTCGAGAACATAACTTAGCTCCTAACAAACTGCTATACAATTGTCTAAAAATCAATCAATGAGCTAAGATTATAAAAATATCAGTACACCGGTCAAAATTCATGTTTTGAAGCAATAGCTAAAGGCGAAGGACAGAGACATCAAACTGAGAAACGTGGAATTAGAAATTGGCGCAATAATCAATCAATTTCCAAAAAGGGTATTCGATTTCTGCACAGAATCAGCTAAAAGACAGGACATTTATTTACCTTGACGCGAACCACCTGGCTCTTGGGTCCTCTAAGGGGGATTTGGCTTCCGAGAGTAGAAGATGGGTAATGAGAAGACGAGCACGAGTGAGAAGAGGAGAGCAGACGCGATCTCTTGTCGGAATTCAGATTGGAAGTTGGAGGTAAACACGGTTGCAGAGAATTGAGAGTGGTTGCGAAGGAAGTGAATGACGAAGAGACGCGAAGGGCCTGAACCGACGTCGCCGATAATCGCACAACTCCAGCCATCTAATATTCACCCAGTCCACAGCTAGAGAGAGAGTGAGAGAGGTCGAGAAGAGAGTGAGATTGTGTTTCGCTCTCTCTTCTCCGAGAGATCCTCCAGGGGAAAGAAGATTTCTCTAAGAAGATCAGAAACTGACTGGTTCAGATTCCAGTGATATTTTTAGCTCATCATGTGCCTCTCTCTCTGTCTCCAAATATACATAGACGCGATTTTAACTGAAAACTGGCGTTTTGGCCGCCGTCATTCACTTAGCGATATTTCGTTGCGTTAGCGTTGAAAAAAGTGTGAAACGCGTCTTGTCTCTCTATACAATCGTGTTTTCATACGGAACGCACAACAGTAATGAAATGATGGTGTATACACACAAGAAAGTTATGACTTCAATGCCATTTATGTTTATTTACACGAGAAAGTTATGACTTGTATTCAATATGATCGTTTAGGATTTTTGTTTTGAAGGTCAAAATTCCATATTTAATCCGAGTAGATGCCAAGTTTCTAGCTCGTATTGAAATGAAATTATCAGTCTCGCATATACTTAGTTTTGACAATTTATCTAATTTCGATCAAGATATATAGGATGGTTCAAAAAAGGAATGTTCTTTGTTGTTTTAGTGAAACTGTTCATCCAATTATGGCTAAACACATTAATATGAGTCTGCAACTACAACATCATATGATAAAACAATAAGTATCCAATTCAAAGCAATTGTGTTGCTGTGGAGAAAGTAAAAAGTTTCTAATCTTAACATCAAATGTGAAGACAAGTTTTTAGAATCCAAAATATTACAGTAAGTTTAGAAGAACTTCCTGTTAAAAACCGTACCAAAGCAACGTACATGCCAAAAAAGCATTAAACAGATCCAAACGCTGTTACTGTTTCGTGTTTGCAGCGGCTTGAAAACGTAGTCTCAGATTCTAGGCTGTTTTTTTTATTGACACAAGAATTGAACTTACCCTACTCTGCTAGACAGCTACGCGCGTGGCAAGAGAACGTTTGAAGCAAACTCGACAGATCCATTGTTTGGTGCAGCTTTTAGTCCTAGAATCGAACTGATGACATTGTAGATCTCAACATTCTCAAAAGAAGGAACTTTCCTTCCTTTCGAGAACATAGGACCATGCCCGATGAATATACTCCTCATGGAGAAGAACGCATTGTCATAACCGTGAGCTCCACCACATTCCTTGGCTTCGCTCTTCTTCTGCTCAACCTTGAAACCTTCATCGACTAGTCCTAAAATAGGCGGGATCCGATCACTGTCTGCGTAATGCAGCCTGCTAGGCAAATCCTCTTTGAGATAAACCTTCAAGTACTTGCCATTCTCTACTTTACCCGAGCTCAGGCCTTCGTTTATCTTAGCCACGATATCCGCTGCATCTTGGTCCGAAGGCGGTTTAATCGCCAGCAACGGAGTGTAATAGTGAACCCAGCTGCTAGGGATCTTGATCCAAGGAGCTAAATCATCAAGAACGATCAGTTTCTTATCACAAGTTCCAACCATTCCGTGATCACCAACCATAATCATAGTCACATCCTCAAAGATCCCTCTTTTCTCTAGCCCATCGATGAGTCTTCCTATCAACCGATCGATGTTAACTACAGCTTCCGTGATCAGAGGATCGTCGGGGCCAACTTGGTGTCCCTGATGATCAGGATCTTCGAAGTAAAGCGTCATGAAGCTAGGGATTTCGCTGCTAGGCAAATCGAAATAGCTCAAGATTGTATCAACCCTATCATCAAAAGGAACAGAGCCGTTGTAGTACTGACATAAACCTTTAGGGCAGTCCCAAGAGCCTTTGTGTACCTCGGAGCCAGGCCAGAAGTAAGTAGCAGCTTTAAGCCCTTGGTTCACTACTGTCTCCCACAATGGCTCACCTAACCACCACTCTGGCTCGTGGCTACCCATTGTGAAGACGTTCCCTGTTTCTGGATCCACGAACCTGTTGTTGATGATGCCGTGATACGCTGGGTATAGACCAGTGACGATGGAGTAGTGGTTAGGGAAAGTCAGTGTCGGAAAAACCGGGATCAGACCCGTCTCGGCTTCGGTTCCGTTGGCGATTAACCGGTGGATGCTCGGCAATTTGGTCTTGAATTGGTACCCGAAACGAAACCCATCAGAGGAAATCAGTAGAACCACAGGCTTGTGGAGTTTCTTGAGTGGGCGAGCAACGGATCTGTCGAAAGCTGGAGACTTGGAGACTTGGTTGAGGGAAAGGACGGGTTTTTGGGAAGAGAAGAAGAGGAAGGCGAAAGCGGAAGCGGCGGAGAGAGCGACGCAGGTGACGAGAAGGAGAGATGTGAAGATGAAGCAGCTTGAGATGTGATTAGTGGAGGAATCGGAATCGGAATCGGAGGAATCTGCGGCGTTGTTGTCGAGGAGTGCGATAGATTGGCTTGGTGGGTCTTGGTCTTCTTCTGGTTGAACAGCGTTGGGCTTTCTCGCTGATAATGTGTCGCCGGAGATCATTGCTCCTCTCTTCTACTTAACCGATCGGGTTGATGTTTCTCTAAAAAAATCTCAGAAAGTTGGAAACTTTATGATCAGAGAGAAGAAACAAGACGGCTTCGTGAGTTTGCTTAAGCTTCTAGTACTTTCGGTCTTGGACTCGTAGGCTTGGAGTGACTTCCACATTCCGTTTTGCACGGATCGAGATTCTAATGGACGCTCGTGAATCTGCCACGTTCACCGGTAAAAAGTCTCCAATTGATTTTGTGGCCATATGTGTTGAAACTTGAAACCCATCAAGGGACACCTCCAAATGTCAGTAGCTGAATGGATTTACACCTTATGATACCTTTGGAGTATACAGTACACACTCTTTTAACTGGCAGATGGAACTATTGATAAAAAGTTTTGATTGAAAGAAAAAATATACTCACATTTTTTATTTCTTTTGTAATTTTATTTACCTACTGCTACAATTCTGAATATCAAATTCACCGTGGATCATCTCTTCGACGATTGCATTAATTAGCATTAATTAGCATTAATGGACATGGAAAACAGTAAACAAAAACGGATCGTGTGATAATGATCTTTGCGATATAGTCACATGGTACATATTTTTCTCTACTATTCAAGCCAACATGCTGACAAGTATTATAAAAGGCCATAATTTTTAATTTTGAAAGTTTCAATGTGTCAGCGGAAATATTGTCACATGTTCCAAAGAGGTCAGAAAACGGCCAAATACTGAAATAAAATAAAATAGCCTGGTATATTCTAGGATAGCGATCCAAATACATTCAAGAGACTTGAAAGAAACTTGAAAGAAAGGACACAGTACTTCATTAGGTTATTATATAGCTTTTAGCTTTCATTCTACTTCCCATGTTTCTCCAAAGGGCAAGAGAATACTCCTAGTGAACAAAGAAGAACCATTGTTCGGAGCTGGTCGGAGCCCGAGAATCTCTGCAACGACATTGTAGATCTGAACATTCTCGAACGACGGCACTTTCTTTCCTCTCCTAAACCTAGGACCATGTCCTATAAAGATAGATCTCATGGAGAAGAACATGTTGTCGTATCCATGATTTCCGAAACATTCTTGAGCGTTGGTTCTATTCTGTTTAACCATTAGCCCTTCTCCGACCATTCCTATTATCGGCGGAATCCGGGAACTCTCGGAGTAGTGTAACCTTTTTGGTAACTTCTCCTTCAAGTAAACTTGCAAAAACTCTCCATTCTCTACTTTCCCTGAGCTCAAAGCCTCGTTCATCTTCGCTACGAGTTCTGCGTTCTTCTCACCTGGATTCTTGACATCTTTGCCCCATCGCGGATTCATCGCTAGCACCGGGAAATAAGCCTGGATCCAATCTGCGGGTACCTTGATCCAGTCCGCTAAATCATCGATGTAAATCACTTTCTTGTCACAGTTAGTAACCATACCGTGATCACCAAGCAATATCACATGAACATCACCAAAGACGTTCCTCTTCTTCAATCCCTTGATGACCCTACCCATCATTTTATCGACCTTTGCAACCGCTTGTGTGATCCGAGGATCATCGGGGCCATATTGATGGCCCTGTAAGTCCGGCTCATCGAAATACAGCGTCATGAAATCCGGAATCTCGCTCTTGGGAAGATCAAAATAGCTCAAGATCGTATCGACTCTTTCTTCGAGAGGAACCGAAACATTGTAAGGTGTTTTACAGAATCCTTTTGGGCAGGTCCAAGAGCCTTTAAGGACGTCAGAGCCTGGCCAGAAGACGGTCGCAGCCTTAAGCCCTTGGTTCACTGCGGTTTCCCACAACGGTTCACCTAACCACCATTTTGGGTCGAGGTTCCTGTTGAAGAATTCCCCGGTTATCGGATCTGTAAATTTGTTCATGATTATACCGTGGTAAGCCGGGTATAGTCCGGTTGCGATAGAGTAATGGTTTGGGAACGTCATGGTGGGGAAAACTGGGATTAAACCGGTCTGAGCTTCGGTTCCTCTTGCAATGAGCAGATCAATGTTTGGTGTCTCCGTCTTGAATTGGTAACCAAACCGGAAACCGTCGCTGGAAATTAGTAGAACCACCGGTTTGGTGAGCTTCTTGGAGGGGTGGGATCTCCAGCTGTTGGATGACCGAAAATCTGAATCATCGGCAGTGGCAGCTACGACGAGGACGATGAGAAAAGGAACGATCTGAGGTAACTTGTACAAGGAGTAACTGGTAAAACCGGACCGAACAGGTTTATATTTTGCCATTGAGAAAGAAAGTATTGTCGGTGTGGCTGAGCTCAACAACGTTCATTTTACTTATAGAGAGGGAAATCTTTCGTTTCATATTAATAAATAGTCTCTCGTGTTTCTCGTTTAATTAATTATTTATACTTCTGCAGTCTGCATATTGTTGTTTTTCTCGCCAGAGCATAGTTTCTGATCGACGATCGTAATTAATTACAATATCAGTCGTGCAAAGTCGTAGATACTTCTCTCACGTCTTTTAGAATCTCCTTCACGGATCCTGAAGCTTATTTTTATAGGGATAGCCGAATAGTTTTGAGTGTAATTTAAATGAACGGTATATCAAGAAATATTAGAGCGTTTAAAATCGAGCAATTAAATTGATTAATATATAGTACCTTTTTATTCTTATTTAATCAAGAGATTTGTGGACCTAAACCCAATTCTAATCTTTTAAGATATTAGATACAAGTATATATAGCTGTGGAATAGTAGTACTAGTACATCATCAAATTTATAACGAACTTACAGAATTATCAAATTTTAGTGAAAGTAAAAATGTTCTCGAATCTAGAGAAAGAAAAGATTTAGATCACCATATTCGTAAATTATTTACCTTAGATATTACCAATTAATCGTAGCATTTTTCCTCTTGTTAAAAATAAACATTTTAAAATATACAATTATATATATTTGAGAATTTATCAGCGTTGGTTCAGCTTTAAAAACCCGGTTACTCAACATTTATTCATTTCTTATTCTTTTCCAAATTTAAACAGCAACAAAAATAAAAAGAAAAAAAGGAGAAGACAATAATCAGCTTAATTTTTTTTATTCATAAATGTCTCATGAGCTAAGGGATTTTTAGCTTCATTCTACTTCCCATGTTTCTCCAAAGGACGAGAGAATGTTCCTAGTGAACAAAGAAGAACCATTGTTCGAAGCTGGACGGAGTCCGAGAATCTCTGCGACAACATTGTAGATCTGAACATTCTCGAACGACGGCACTTTCTTTCCTCTCCTAAACCTAGGACCATGTCCTATAAAGATAGATCTCATGGAGAAGTATTGGTTATCGTATCCATGATCTCCATAACATTCATGAGCGTTTGTTCTGTTCTGTCTAACTATAAGACCTTCTCCGACCATTCCTACGATCGGCGGAATCCGAGAACTCTCCGAATAATGCAGCCGTTTCGGTAACTTCTCCTTCAAGTAAACCTGTAAAAACTCTCCGTTCTCTACTTTCCCTGAGCCCAAAGCCTCGTTCATCTTGGCCACGAGTTCTGCGTTCTTCTCGCCTGGATTCTCGACATCTTTGCCCCACCGTGGATTCATTGCTAGCACCGGGCTATAAGCGTTGATCCAATCCGCGGGTATCTTGATCCAATCTGCTAAGTCATCAATGTAAATTGTTTTCTTATCACAATTAGTCACCATTCCGTGGTCACCAAGCAATATCACATGGACCTCATCGAAGATCTCCCTCTTCTTCAGCCCCTCAATGACCCTACCGATCATTTTATCGATCCTTGCAACCGCTTTCGTAACCCTAGGATCGTCGGGGCCATAGTTATGGCCGGCTGCGTCGGGCTCATCGAGATACAACATCATCAAATCAGGGATTTCGTCCTCGGATAAATCGAAATAGCTCAATATCGTATCGACCCTTTCTTCGAAAGAAACGGAAAGATTGAAATGTGGACACAATCCTTTAGGGCAAGTCCAAGAATCTTTGGGAACTTCTGAGCCTGGCCAAAAGTAAGTCAGAGCCTTGCGACCTTGGTTTGCTGCGGTTACCCACAACGGCTCCCCTAACCACCATTTCGGGTCTAGGCCTTTGTTGAACACCTCCCCGGTTATCGGATCAGTAAACTTGTTCATGACTATACCATGGTAAGCCGGGTAGAGTCCGGTTGCGATCGCGTAGTGGTTTGGGAATGTCATGGTGGGGAAAACAGGGATTAAACCGGATTTAGCTTCGGTTCCTCCGGAAATGAGAAGGTCGATGTTCGGTGTGTCGGTTTTAAACTGGTAACCGAACCGGAAACCGTCGGAAGAAATCATTAAAACCACCGGTTTGTTGAGCTTCTTGAAGGGCCAGGGACGCCAGGTTTTGGACGACGGAGAGTCCAAATCGGTGGCGGCTACGGTTGCGGTGGAGGCGGCTATAATGAGAAGATTAAGAAGAATGAGAGATAGTTTAGGAAACAGAACATGTTTGGTTTTAGCCATTGGAAATATTGTTTGTGATGGTTCTTGCAGTTCATGTTATTTATAGAGCGACCTAATAAGTTTCTTCGTTTATTTGTTTATACTATTTTGCTTTTCCTTTGAGAAAAATAATCAGGAGAAAATAATACTATATAGCGTTCGAAAGCTAGAAGCGTCGCCATATAAAATGATTTCTAATGTATGTTAGGTATATATATATATATATATAACTTATGCATATATGATTCAATTACTGAATATGAAACTTATACAGTATGTTGTAAGTTGAGTTATGGTATTTTAAAAGGCAAGTCGTCGTTAATACGATTTTTTTTTCTTTTACAACATGTCATAAATAATATAAATTTCACATCTACCAAAATTTTGAATCCTCTGTTGTAACTAACGATGGAAATATGTTAACAAATAAACGAATGATCGAAATATCTTATTGATTCTACTTTTGTAATTAACGACACTAAATTATTTAACAAACCAAACTTTTTTTTAATTGAAAACAAACATGGAGATATAGTTACCTTTTTTTTAATATAGGTATTGATGAACATCTTTTATTGAGTGATAATGGACAGTACCAGCAAATTTGGAGTTTTAACTATTTTCCAAAACTTAATTTGTTTATTTTGTATTTTTTCGCAAAACGTCGAGGCAAGCTGTGAAATGTACGTGAATAGAGTTAACAGTAAAAACAGCTGCCTTAAATAATATGGCACGACAAGAGTCGGTGGTAGTTACATTATCACGACAAGAACATTACTATCATCTATATGGTCCAAATGTGAGTGAACCGTTGATATATGATCTTACGGTCTAAATATAACTCACGTTTTTTTATCACATGAAACTACTCTGTCGTAGTGGGCTCTTCCTCTGACTGGATAGATGGTTGGTTGGTGTTTGATATGGGACTTCTTAATTAACGTGCCCGTGCTAACTTAATATGCGTTCTAGTGTTGTAATTTTTGGGGGAACAGCCAAAAAATTAAACGTTTATTAAGTGTAACTTAGGGAATGCATCCAATTACAAATTATTTGGGGTTTGATAAGATTTTAGATCATTTAATATAACAAACACGGAACGGAATAATGTTTCAATAAAAATCGCATAATGCTTCAGAATCCTTATGATCTTTAAACTTGAAAAAAAAAAGAGGACTATCTAAACAAATTGGTTGATCATGCTTTCTTTAATTTAGAAATCTGTTCGAAAATGTAATTTTATAGTTCAATGAAAGTTCAAGAAATGACGAAGAACAAATGGATCCGTTAAAAGCTTGTACCAATCATCAAATTAAAATTCTCAGAAATGAAAAAAAAAAAAAAAAAATGAGGCCATGAAGAAATCTGAAGGAAGAGTCTTGTTGAATGTTGCAAGGCATCAAAGATGTTGAAACTATCAACTGCCGTGGAAATAAAGGGGAGTGTATTCAAAATAGAATTTAGAGTGATTTTTATTAAAATCACAAACGTTCTGTTATTAAAACATAAATTTTAAAATTTTGTTTAAAATTCAGTGTTATTGAACTAAGGATTTGAAAATGTATGTTAAAAATATAAGAATCCAAATCTCATGATTTTAAGTAGAGTTTGGTAGAATTTTGATATCAAATCATAACAATTTCTATAATTCAACCAAATCATCTAAAAACTCATTAAAACTTAAATTCTTCCAAATCATTCCAAATGTTAAATTGAATACACCCCTCAAAGATAAGTTGACCAGCGCAAGAGGCAAATTGTGTGGCGCGTTGTTTACTTCTTCTCTGGACCGATAACTAGACTATGTGTTCTCTTCATCATCCTTTTCTTAAAATAAGTCTGTCTTATGTAACTAGTGGGCTCTAATATTAGCCCAAACAAAATTATAAAGAAACATTTCTATTATTTTATCTCCCATTTTTGATGTTATTCGTCTAGTTTATATCTTATATACATTTTTAATCAACTGTGGGATCTTAAGTTCTTAGCAAGATTATTTCTTTAATGATGGTATATGATTTTAAATCCGCAGTCTTTTTCATATATAAGCCATCATCGACAAGAACATGGTTTGGTTTGTGCTAGTGACATTTTTTCTTATATTCAAACCCGTGTGACGGTCTGAGTCAAGATCATGTGTCATAGTTATACATGATATTTACAAAATAATTGATTATAGTAAGACAATTGTGGTTTGTTGGTAAACGATAGTGATTTTGTATGTCACAATTAATATCTCAAACCAATAGATTCACTAGTCACAGACCTTGATCGGAAAATAAACTGGCCTTGGTGTCCGTCTTATGATTACGACAACAAAATTAACTATTGGATATAGATCAAAGTCTAAGGTTGTAGGTAGACCGGTTAGGTTGGAAGAGTTTCAGATTTTGGAAGTACACAAACTTTCTTACATTCATTGGTTTATTATTTGGAGAAAAAGAAAACAAGGATTGAAATATAACACTTTAATTAATCATGATGACTACTAGTTGATTTAAAACTCATGGAATAATAAAATACTCCACATTTTCTAAATTAAAATTTATATTAGTCTTATAGTACTATGTAAGTTCCAAATGAATTCTCGAATGTTTAAATGAGTGCTTTCAGTTGTTTTAAAATCGAGATCAACAAAACGAAACGATTGAGACTTGGCTAATGATTGAATCTTTTGTGTAAAGCTATCTTGGGGGAAAAAATATATATAACCTATGAATCATGATCCACGAGGTCATTGGCCTTAATAATTTCATGAATTTGATGATTGTATGAATCATATTTTGCCATATGGCACTTAACCTTAAAAAGTGGACATTTGATTTACACTATTCTTTCAAAATAATATACATGCATATATCAAATGATGTTGTTGTTGTGATGCTTTTCTCTTCTTTTTTTCCACGTTGTTGTAGTGATGTTTGAAGAAACATGTATAGAAAGATGCATATAGATAACAAATACTAATAAAAAAAACATCATAATTAAAAGTTATGTCTATTGTTGGTCATGAGAGTATTGTTATATAATACAAGGCCAAGTCTATTTTCCAGATATAAAATTCGGATCCAAGAACATCATATATTTAGGAGGGTGAATTAAATTCTAAATTCAAAAAATACAATTTGGTTCATCTAATTTTTTTTTTTTTAATTTTTTGTTTAATGTCATTTTGGGGTATTTCTAAAAATACCACAAAATAGATATGTGTAGCCACAATTAGAAAATGACAGCTACAAGAAAGATATTAGTTAGCATCAACCTTTTGAATTTTTAGTTAAGAGACAGACAAATGCAAAGAAGCCATGTAAACCAGCACATTTGGCCATTAATGCATTTTAAAACATATTGGACACTCTGTTTTAATCATCAGTTTGATTCTTTTTGAGAAAACAAATTAAAAGGTCTACAGAGATAAACGACCAAAGACCTATCGCTAGCCAGGTCCCTAGATTTCTCCTTGGCACATTTTATTTTCTTTACTTTCTTATTTTTATTTAACATATCTTTTCTCTTGAACAACTTGGGGGTATCTATGTATGTATATATTTTTTTTTTCATTAACAATAGGTCCACTTTGTATAACATAATAATCATAAAAGCTTTATAAAGGAACAACAACCAAAAGAATTTTGGATACCAATGAGATAATTTATTTATCTCACATATCATCCCAAGTTCATCATCATAGCCGATCCAAAATAAATCAAATCCCCAAAACTAAAAATTAAAATATGATCATGTTCAGGATGAATGGAAAAATAATGAATAGTACATTTTCAAAACCGTAAGACCATAATGGAAGTATATAGTAAGTAAATTTTCAAAACATAAAAGCATCTAGTACGTCTTTCGACCTATTTCTTGGTTATAATAATAACTTTTTCATTACTTTAGCCTTGATATTTTGGTTGAATTGGTAAAATGTGATATAAAATCGTAAGTTACAGAAAATAATTGTTAAAAAATAATTATTGCAAAAGATCACAGTAATTCTTATGAACTTTGGTTTTGTTTGTAGATGATTAAATCGTTTTAATACCATCAATTTTAGTAATATATATGTTAAAAAGCAATAAAATGAGAATCATTGCAGCTTTAGAAAACGTTTTGTTTTTGTTAGAACAAAAGTAAGAGTTAGACAGTAACAAATCGACAGATAAGCAAAGACACAAAAGTAATTTCTCTTTGATGGGTTGTTGGATTTTTATCATAATTTTTCAAAGCATAAATGATTTTTCAATTTTGTTGATTACTAATGATTAGAAATTCGTCATGATCTTTGGAAAAGTAAAGAAACAAATTCCTCATGATCTGATGTTTTCATTTGGAGTTTTATGAAGATGGAGAAAAATACATATTAGGTGAAACATCTTGTTTCACTAATTAGCTCATTTGATTTATATTTGTATTCTATAACTATCCTTTTCTTTTTCTATCAACTCATATGTTGCCACCAAATAGGTCAAAAAGCTCAGGCAAAGTTTTTTTGTGACTGTGAAGTATCGTTAATTATTCATTTCTAATGATTGTTAAGGTATTTAAATAAATGAATTAAGTTACCATAATTAAGTGAAAACTGTGCACTCAAGTACGTTCCATCTATTTTCTTAGTCTTTATATTCTTAGGTTGTAGGTAAAGCATATATTAACCAATAACTGGCTTATGGATGAGTGCTCTTGGAGTAGTAGATCGTTGGAGAAGTTTGAGAAACTAGAGAAGAGGGATCGAGAGGCAGATAGGCAAACGTGAGAATTTGATTGACCGTTTTGCCGAGAACCTTAAAGCGTGCGTCTTCATACCTAGAGGAATAATGATGTACGTGTTGTTGGTGAGGATAACGGACGAGTCGGACGGCTAAAGTATACCAAACCGTTCATATAACTTTAAATGAAGATAAAAGCAGTGTTATTCTACATGATAACACTAACTCTGTGAAATAACGTTATGTTTTACAATAGGGGAACAAGACTCGTGCTAGTGTTGGCATATGATAATAGAGGAGTTAACGCGAATTAAT